AAGAAAGGAAATGCAGACTATGTGGAGGAAAATATTGATAATCTGATATGGGAATCTGTAGAACAAGGACAAGAGAATGCAGGGAAAACATACTAGTCGAGGGGGAAGAGGACTAAAACGAAAACATCAAATTAATAGTAAGGTTTAGATGAGGAAACGAGGGAGAGAAAAAGTGAGGTGTGAAAAGAAGAAAGAAAAATGGATGAAGAGGACAATATAAAAATTTGCTGTGGCTCACAGGAACCACACACAAACCTAGGCATGCCCAATCTCTGTTCGTACCCTTTTTAAGTCCATTCCGAACTTCCAAACTTACTGAGACACTCCAAATACCTCCTGGGCCGGCTGGACAAGCATATTACGTTTTGGTTTAATCCCGCACCTGGGACTAAGATTTAAGAAAAAGCGAAATTGATAAAGTAGAAATGTACGCTGTGGTACATGTTGTAAAATTCCTCCGTTAGGTATCACATGCAGTCGTGAATATAAATAAATTTAGCTTGGCGACACGTGTTTCTTATATGTCAAAGTATCCACGAGGCCATTTAGGTTTCAAGCTCCAGGTTTTAGTTTTCCATTCTATTTCAATCTCAGATTGCAAGAATCTTTCTTCTTTGTCTGACTACAATTGGCAAGGTTTAACTTGAAAACCTTAGGTTTATGACTCATGCCTCACCTTAGGTAAGTTGTCAATAGACCATCGGCTTCCGAATTCACACTTAGTTTGTTTTTTCGTTTTAGGTTTAAAATCCTGCTTTCATTTCTTACTACAGGTTCAACTTAAAAATCTTAGGTTTTTGGCTCAGGTTTGGTAAGTTATCGGTGGGCGATGGTCTTCAAAATTCAAACTTGATGCATCGGGTTTCAGTTTTTTTTATTTCAAATGTCGAGCTGCAAGAATCCCGATTCTATTTCACAAGGTTTAAAAACCTTTGTTTCAATGCTCATGCTTCAGGTTAGGTCAGCTATCAATAGGCCATGGTCTTTAGAATTTACACTTGATGCATCGGATTTAGGTTTTTTCTTGTTGTAAACCTCTAAATTAATTGGGTAAATCTTTGTGGAATTTAGGATTATTAAAGCCAGTACAAGAGGAGTAACAGGGACTCTCAGGGTTTAGATGCTTACAAGGTTTTTTGTGTTTCAGAGGGTTTAAGGAGGATCGTGGAGCACAGATATTTTCAGTACGATGGAATAAAACGCGTTGTTTTCCTTCAATGTCGTTAAATGGCGCTGTTTGTATAGCATTCCGTTGGATCTCCATTTTATTTCAAAATTGATCACTATTCGATTGAATAGTTTGAGGTAAAGGAATTTAAATACCCAATTTAGTTATAACAAAAATTCCACTTCTATTACAATATGTAAAATACGTAGAAGTTTGCATTTTTATGCACATGTCGTCTACATCCACTAGATCCGCAAACGCCGCTGAATACTAAATGGCCTGATCATAAATGGAAATAAAATAGAACCCGCTTTGATTTATAATAAATATTGAGCTACCAGAAAACGCCAAACTAATAACGCGCCTCAGTTTCCATTAAAGGACTTTTACGCTTCCCTCCAACATATTTCGAGTGTTCGCGATAATTTCCTGATTTTAATGACCGGGGGTCGACTTCGTTAGCTCAAAACAACGATTTATATAACTTAATTACTTTCCGAATGCTTTGTCAACGGACGCAAATTGAAAATTGGAATTGTTCCACTTCTTGGCTACGGCCGCCCGATTCCTACTTGTTTAGGGTAGTTTATTGTCGGTTAATTATTGTAGAAAATTAAGGAATTAGTCCGAAATTTCTGCTTAATCACCTAATCCCTTATCCCGAACGCGCAATCGGCCCAATTTCGAAAGGAAATTTCCGTCGACGCTAATGAGAATGAAGCGGGGATATCTTTTTCGGGTTGGAGAACTTAACTGATTGCAGCCGGCGATAATTTTAACGAACATGCAAAGTCAATTTTTGACAAGGGCATGTTAGCTTTTCGGATACCACGCAAGGTCAATGTCCACAAACTTCCAAACTCTCGCCGCAGGTATTTTGGCGTGGTTTATCTATAAGATTTAACGTTCAAGTTCAGCTTGGAACTACTTTGAAAACTGACAACACGGACAGGTATAGGTTGACCGTATGGGTTAGTCACGTCGCGTAGTGTGGGCGCACCGTACGAGTTAGTTGCATCTACATTACTAGGAGGGGAAACGTGGAAAGCTAGGAAACTGCATTACACCTGATGGTTTACAAATTACCATTTGACCTAATCTTGCCTTAGCACAAACAATTTAACCCAATAATAAACCGTAAGCAACCCTTAAATTGCTCTCTAAGGTTAAAGTTCCCTGTGGGTTTAAAATTACGAATTTTATTAGAAAATTCAGTCTCATATGTAAAGTAATCCTCGATTGCGGGGGTTGTAATTTTTGTAGTACAGCAAATATTTGTACTTTGTTATTCGATTATGTATAAATGACCCTTAAGCAACCCTTAAATTGCTCTCTAAGGTTAAAGTTCCCTTTGGGTTTAAAATTACGAATTTTATTAGAAAATTCAGTCTCATATGTAAAGTAATCCTCGATTGCGGGGGTTGTAATTTTTGTAGTACATCAAATATTTGTATTCATTATTCGATTATGTATAAATGACCCATAAGCAACCCTTAAATTGCTCTCTAAGGTTAAAGTTCCCTTTGGGTTTAAAATTACGAATTTTATTAAATTCAGTCTCATATGTATAGTAATCCTCGATTGCGGGGGTTGTAATTTTTATAGTACAGCAAATATTTGTATTTCATTATTCGATTATGTATAAATGACCCATAAGCAACCCTTAAATTGCTCTCTAAGGTTAAAGTTCCCTTTGGGTTTAAAATTACGAATTTTATTAGAATATTCAGTCTCATATGTAAAGTAATCCTCGATTGCGGGGGTTGTAATTTTTGTAGTACATCAAATATTTGTACTTTCATTATTCGATTATGTATAAATGACCCTTAAGCAACCCTTAAATTGCTCTCTAAGGTTAAAGTTCCCTTTGGGTTTAAAATTACGAATTTTATTAGAAAATTCAGACTCATATGTAAAGTAATCCTCGATTGCGGGGGTTGTAATTTTTGTAGTACATCAAATATTTGTATTCATTATTCGATTATGTATAAATGACCCATAAGCAACCCTTAAATTGCTCTCTAAGGTTAAAGTTCCCTTTGGGTTTAAAATTACGAATTTTATTAGAAAATTCAGTCTCATATGTAAAGTAATCCTCGATTGCGGGGGTTGTAATTTTTGTAGTACAGCAAATATTTGTATTTCATTATTCGATTATGTATAAATGACCATAAGCAACCCTTAAATTGCTCTCTAAGGTTAAAGTTCCCTTTGGTTTTAAAATTACGAATTTTATTAGAAAATTCAGACCCATATGTAAAGTAATCCTCGATTGCGGGGGTTGTAATTTTTGTAGTACAGCAAATATTTGTATTTCATTATTCGATTATGTATAAATGACCCATAAGCAACCCTTAAATTGCTCTCTAAGGTTAAAATTCCTTTTGGGTTTAAAATTACGAATTTTATTAGAAAATTCAGACTCATACGTAAAGTAATCCTCGATTGCGGGGGTTGTAATTTTTGTAGTACATCAAATATTTGTATTTCATTATTCGATTATGTATAAATGACCCATAAGCAACCCTTAAATTGCTCTCTAAGGTTAAAGTTCCCTTTGGGTTTAAAATTACGAATTTTATTAGAAAATTCAGTCTCATATGTAAAGTAATCCTCGATTGCGGGGGTTGTAATTTTTGTAGTACATCAAATATTTGTAGTTCGTTAATCGATTATGTATAAATGATCTATAAGCAACCCTTAAATTGCTCTCTAAGGTTAAAGTTCCCTTTGGGTTTAAAATTACGAATTTTATTAGAAAATTCAGTCTCATATGTAAAGTAATCCTCGATTGCGGGGGTTGTAATTTTTGTAGTACAGCAAATATTTGTATTTCATTATTCGATTATGTATAAATGACCCATAAGCAACCCTTAAATTGCTCTCTAAGGTTAAAGTTCCTTTTGGGTTTAAAATTACGAATTTTATTAGAAAATTCAAACTCATATGTAAAGTAATCCTCGATTGCGGGGGTTGTAATTTTTGTAGTACATCAAATATTTGTATTTCATTATTCGATTATGTATAAATGACCCATAAGCAACCCTTAAATTGCTCTCTAAAGTTAAAGTTCCCTTTGGGTTTAAAATTGCGAACTTTATTAGAAAATTCAGTCTCATATGTATAGTAATCCTCGATTGCGGGGGTTGTAATTTTTGTAGTTCATCAAATATTTGTACTTTGTTAATCGATTTTGTATAAATGATCCATAAGCAACCTTTCAATTGCTCTTTAAGGTTAAGGTTCCCTTTGATTTTAAAATTACGAATTTTATGATTATATTCAGTCCTATATGTAATGTTGTGGTCTATAATTATTTTGTTAAATTATGATGAGAAAGTTTACTCACATGGTAAGTATTTGGTATCAATAGGAAAAAGGCAAAATTTTTAAATTATTTTGGCTGTGGGGGTCTTAGGTGCCGGTTCATTTTGGAAAAGTGGTCTCTGACCCAAAATAGTTTGGGAATTCCTGATGTAGTTTGTTCCCTTACTTCTCGTTACAGGTAATTGCATGACTTCTGCTTTACTTCTGACTGCTGATAATTGCCTGTATTTCGACAAGTGGGTTAATTACCCCTACTTGATTCTACAAGTAATCGCGTATGATAAAAATTAACCCTCATACGAAGGCGTGCGCTAGTTATTTTACTATTTTTAGCATATCTCTTGACGGTCGGCTGTCGATAATTTTAATAATGTGGCTTGATTTTTTTTTCCAAACAAAATTAGTAAAACAACGTGAGGCTGGAAAGGCGCGCTGGATCGCAGCGCAGGTGCCATCCGACGTATCATTTGAAGTTTGAAATTTAACTGATAAAGAGCGCAGTTGGCGACGCGATTTCAATCTTAACGGACGTCCTTCCTGCTACCATCAGACGCCACCGACGCCGCCGTCACCGACACGATTTTCACGCGAGTGATCATGCCACCTGACAAACCGCCTCCGAGCTAAAGGTAATTTTCACTTGAATACACTTTCATCAACCCCTTATTTTATCTCCCCCGTCCAGTGTTATTTTTACCGTTCCAACTTTGTTTCGCGACGCATTGTGAGGCGAAAGCGTCGGCGACGGCGATTTTAATGCATCACCTACGAACGAATATGCACCACATTCATATTATAATGCGCCCTTTATTAAGGGATCCATTCAAAGCGACAAATAAAATTCAATATCCAGTCGTTAAAGAGATGTTGCACTTTGCTTGCAATTGACGGTCCCCGTTTTGCATATTTTAATAACACGGGGGGCGACGCGAAGAAGTTAAAATTCTGAACGGCGTCACTGTCCATTCTTTAATTTGTTGGAAAGCGTTTTTTTAGGTTTAATTAGCATAAACCCACAATACCAGAGGGAATGTAAATTAGCTGTTCACTGAATTGTTTATTAAACAATTACGTTTTGTACTTATGCAAATTTGCCAGTTCTTCTCCTCCTTCCTAGATTATTTGTGATAAGCAAAACCGCTAATACGCTGGAATGAGGGTGATCGAACCTTTATCTGGCGAAAACTGGAACAGGGCACCAAAAATTGTAATGAGACCAATGGCGCTCCTTAAAATCGAATTAAACGTCTCTATTGGGTATTGAAGGAGTGTCTCATGGATCTATTCCGCGACCTCTGCTATCAATTTTAATTAGCCGATTTAGATTTCTCTATTACACGCATGTTTTGCACGCAAACTTTGGATAATAAGTGCAAAATCGGTGAACTAACAATTGTTAGTATAGAAAGAAGCCGCGTCGCACGTACTCATTTAATCAAATTAAGCAATCAATTGGGACTTCCCTCCGAAATTAAAAGGTGCCAGAATTCTGCTCAGAATCTGGCTCAAACGGAACAAAAAAAAATAAAGGCGCATCATCCGCGTTGTAGTGGAAGCAATTCTTCTCAATTATTTAATGATCGCGCTAATATAAAAGTGGAAAACGTTCGTAAATTCCCCTTAATTGCGAAAACGCAATTCGTTTGTCTACGCATCATTAATTGCATTTGCATAGCGTCTCTCTGTGCGAGTGTGTTTTTTTTTTAGTACCAGGAGCGATGGGGGTCGGTCTCTGTTTTAGTGATCCGTTAATAAAACAAAGGTGGTAAGTTTAAAAACTGATTACATTTAATGAAACGTAGGTACAAACAAGTTTCGGGGAATTTTTCTCATTTCCCTATAGGATTGGGTTATTAATTAATTGCACCCCTTTTTCATTGATTTACTTGTTTATATTACATATGAGAGTAAACAATTATAGTCGTAAATTAATTGTTTTTCGTCGGAAACGAATTTGGTTGCCAGTCAACATTAATTGATCCATAATTTACGTGCCGCACATTTGGCGTTTATTGTATTTCGGCGAAGGGGTGGGTGGGTTGAGGTATATGTGCCAATTATCTTTTTTAAATTACATTACAACTTTTGGGTTGTGCTTGTTATGCAACCGTGACTTGCGCCGGTCAAATCTCAAAGAATTTCGTTACCTTAATTATAGAGTTTTCTTGAATTAATGGTTTCCGGCCTCAGTACTTCTCAAAAAATAGGATCTCCCCAAGGATTACTGCTGAAGTTTTTGTATGACTACCTCTTCATATGCAAATGATTTGGCAATGAACTTTTTAACTATATCGTCTGCTATCAAACAGCCTTCAGCTATCGAGTTATTATTAGGGGACTAAAAGGCCAAAATTTCAATCTTACACGCTGAAAATGGCTAATTTGCATCTTTCGCTTTAGAATTATAACGTGAAAACAGCTGTATCGAGGGACGTATGGCGTGAAAGTTCACTTAGAAAGCGCGGAAGACAAGAAAAGTGCCAAGAAGGTAAAAAGCAAACGCGAAAGAAAGTTGTTTTGATGATGGAGGAGGCGCGAACGCCGTAAAGAAGATAAAAATCAAAGCAAAAGGAGGAAAGTGTGAAAAAGATGTAAAGGAAGAAGGTCTAAAGAATGTGTGAAGGGAAGAGAGGAAAAATTCGCCACCTAGTTATGATATAGCGCAAATGTAAGTTTTTAAATGAGAAAGCTCCCTTTTTCCCATCAGCATTGAATTTTACACTGGAAAATAAGCACAGTCTGTAATTACGTCCTTTATTTGAGATCAAACAGAGCAAATGAAATTATTTGGGATTAACCTGGACAAAACGAACACTTGTGTAGCTTTTGTAACACTTTAAATTATTTGACTTTCATTTAATACAAAGAAATACACAACTGTGCCATAAAACAAAACAAAAATATATTTCAAAATATGTTTATTAGTGGGGGTGCACGAATCATGTATTAATTAGTATAAATTAATTACGTAGGCGGATTTATGGCTCAGTGGTAGAGCATTGGGTTATAATCCGGAGGTCGGGTGTTCGAACCTGGGTTGAGGTGAATTTTTCATCTGTGGCGGAGATGGAAATTACCTTAGACCAGTTCCGAGCATTCTACCGGCTACTCCGAATTAGGTTTTCATGCAGTTTTCCTAATTCGTAAGGTAAATACCGGAGTAACTTAAGACCTTCTGCAGAGGCACCTCTAAGTAGCATTATGCGGGTCACTCTGTAATTGGGCGCATGCCTGTTGAGGGTCCAAAACAAGAGAGGGATAATAAAATAAAAAAAAAAGGTCGATACTCGATGTAATGCAGGGGTGACGGTAAACTTGAGTCTTTAACAGTAGTTTCTTGCGCAAATTACCTTTTTTAGAGCCTTTCTAAAGCAGATTCGAGCCAGGCAACGACCTGTAGCGCAATAGTGATAGCTGGCTACCGTGGAGTGGCCATAAAAAGTATTAAAATATCAAGAATAAGTATGCTTTAAAAGTATGGAAAGTGCAAAAGGTCTTTTGGTACTTTCCTTGAACTTCTTGGCAATTGACGAGGTTCTAGAAAACACACACTCAGGCTTTCCATAACCTTCAAGGCGATTTCCAGAGCTCTATGGGGCCGTTTCGGAGCATTTCGTCGCTTTCAGGTCATTTCTAAAGCTTTTCGGAGCTTTGTCAAAAATCATTTATCCTCTCAGAACCCTCTGGGCACTTTTCGGAGCGGGGAGGGGGGGGGGTCTTCCGGTATGTTTCTAGGTCCCTTCAGTGATTACGAGGCTTGTATGATTCTAGGGAGGGCACGGAAGGTTTTTGGCGGGCTTTGAGAGGTCTGATCGAAAAAATACGAATCGTTATGGATTCTACGCACCAAAATTAGTGAGAAAAAGTGTTTTCCCGAAAAATTTTGCAGCAGTCGATTTTTTGTAAAAAAGGAAGGTAATACACTGCCTTTTTTTGAGACCGGAGAAAAAATTGTCTGAGATCGACCGGGAAAAAACATTTTCTTATAGAGTTTGGCCCGTAGAATCCATAATTTCAAACAGTTCCACGATTGGACTACTAGATCAAAAGTTACAGCCCTTTGAACTTTATATATACATAGTCGAAATTTTTATTTAGTCCATAACCTTTGATTGAGAGGTCTGATCGAAAAAGTACTAATTGTTTTGGATTCTAAGCACCAAAATTAATAAGAAAAATGTTTTCCGGAGAAATTTTGGTGCAGTCGATTTTTGGTAAAAAAGGAAGGTAAATAACTGCCTTTTTTTGGGCCCCGAAGAAAAAATTGTTTCAGATCGATCCGGAAAAAGAATTTTCTTATAGAATGTGGCCTGTAGAATCCATAATGTCAAACAGTTCCAAGATTGGGCTACTAGTTCAAAAGTTACAGCCGTTTGAATTTTTTTTCGAAATTGGTTTCTAGTCTATAACCTTGGATTGAGAAGTCTGATCGAAAAAGTACTAATTGTTTTGGATTCTACGCACCAAAATTAATAAGAAAAAGTGTTTTCCCGACAAATTTTGGTGTAGTCGATTTTTGGTAAAAAACGAAGGTTATACACTGCCTTTTTTTGAGCCCCGAAAAAAAAATTGTCTCATATCGACCCGGAAAAAAATTTTTCTTATAGAATGTGGCCTGTAGAATCCATAATTTCAAACAGTTCCAAGATTGGGCTACTAGTTCAAAAGTTACAGCCCTTTGAACCACTATTGTTATCTTCTCTATGTTTATTTTCATGTTCCTCTTCATTAATTCCTCTTTCGGTAATTAAGTTTGCATTATGTCGTTTTCTGCACATATTAGTGACTTCTTGTACTTTATTAGGCACTGCATTTAAAATTTCGTCCGCAATTAATTACCACCCCTACCCCTCTTCTCGTAGACCACAATCAAGTGTATTTTCGTTTCATTGCCCATCACACTTTTGTTTCCTCGTATTGTTTCCATTGTCACTCAATCGAAGGTCTTTTCCAAATTGAAAATCGCTAGGTATTTTTGTATGTTTTCAGTGCGTTGTGCTATCGTAAACAAGTGATCTTGTATATTCCTACCCTTCTAAAATCCACTTTGATCCACCTTATTTCTAGTACCTACCTACTGTTCTATAAATCTTTGAAACGACACTTAAAAGAGTTTTTTCGTCGCATGAAATTTAACGTCGCAAAATCAAACTTAAACGTTAGTATCAATTTTCCCCATAAAGTTTCGTTTCCGTGTGCGCGGCATAAAAAATATGACCGAAATTTATATTGAGTACTTCATTGGGTAAATAATAAGGGTTGGTGTATATAAAAATATGAAAAGGCACCGCTATAAAAGTAAACAAAGTTAATATTGAAAGCTCACTTCGATTAAGTGCCCTGCTTGCAAATCAATTAACTGACCAACCCTGACAAATTCATACTGCACAAACGGGAGGCGCCCGGTATTCAATTTAATTATCTTGGTACATTTTAATTTCGATTCGTTTCGCGTGCCGATTCGAAGACAAAGACTACGCTCGTGTAAATAAAAAAAAATCTGTATACGACGACAAGTTTGTACGTGTTCGATTGCCATCATTTTCCCTAACTGCGTTTCCACCATTATCCTGGTAGATCATCGTCCTTTCACTTCGGCTTCCTTTAATGGGAAGTATCCACCCTTCTCGCTAGCTGTACGTTATACGTAATCTTTTTTCTTATATTTCGAAACATCAAACAGTTATATAATGCATTTACGCTTAAATTAATTGATCTTAGTAAAGCTCTCGAAGTTATAATTAAGTTATAGGGCAGGTAAGTTGGTAGGCTCATGCCATTTACTTGTCAATATGACGCAGTTGCGTATCTGCCGTTTTGACCCCTCAATGGACCGAATTAGAGCATATTAATTTCTCAATAAAAGCAGGTGTTATTTGAAGAAATTGTATAAAATTATAAAATAAAAGTCTCATGTCTCGTCTCGGTTCTACAGTCTTCCCCAAACTGTGTAACACCCTTAGCACTGTACGAAGAGCTTTATGCCAGTTGTAGGTAAATGAAGATGGACTATTTCTTTTGCCTGGGGGGTATTCCATACCCCCCAGACCACCCGGTTCTAGATTTTTCCCCAAAATGTGTATTACCCTTAGCACTTACACCAAATTGTTTCGAAAAAGCCTTAAGACTGAACGTTTTGAGAGTGAACGTTGCACCGGGGGGTCTGGGGGGTATGGAATACCCCCCAGTATACGAAGGTCTTTATGTCAGTGGTTGGTAAATGATGATGGACCATTTTGCCTGGGGGGTATTTCAGACCCCCCGGTTCTACAGTCCTCCCCAAACTGTGTAATACCCTTAGCACTTACACCAAATTGATTATGTTTAAATAATGTATAAACAACCCCCAAACTGCCCTTGAATAATAAATTTTTGTCTGGTTTAAGATTGCCAAATATTTTAAGTAATTTAAACTATAACATACAGGATACTTATAATGCGGGGGTTGTAACTTTCGTAATACACCGAACATTTTTATTTCGTTGATTGATTATGTTTAAATAATGTATAAACAACCCCCAAACTGCCCTTGAATAATAAATTTCTGTATGGTTTAAGATTGCCAAATATTTTAAGTAATTTAAACTATAACCTACAGCATACTTAGAATGCGGGGGTTGTAACTTTCGTAATACACCGAACATTTTTATTTCGTTGATTGATTATGTTTAAATAACGTATAAACAACCCCCAAACTGCCCTTGAATAATAAATTTCTGTGTGGTTTAAGATTGACCAAATATTTTAAGTAATTCAAACTATAACTTACAGCATACTTATAATGCGGGGGTTGTAACTTTCGTAATACACCGAACATTTTTATTTCACTGATTGATTATGTTTAAATAATGTATAAACAACCCCCAAACTGCCCTTGAATAATAAATTTCTGTATGGTTTAAGATTGCCAAATATTTTAAGTAATTCAAACTATAACTTACAGCATACTTATAATGCGGGGGTTGTAACTTTCGTAATACAGAAACATTTTTATTTCGTTGATTGATTATGTTTAAATAATGTATAAACAACCCCCAAACTGCCCTTGAATAATTTTTCTGTATGGTTTAAGATTGCCGAATATTTTAAGTAATTTAAACTATAACTTACAGCATACTTAGAATGCGGGGGTTGTAACTTTCGTAATACACCGAACATTTTTATTTCGTTGATTGATTATGTTTAAATAATGTATAAACAACCCCCAAACTGCCCTTCAATAATGTTTTTCTGTATGGTTTAAGATTGCCGAATATTTTAAGTAATTGAAACTATAACTTACAGCATACTTAGAATGCGGGGGTTGTAACGTTCGTAATACACCGAACATTTTTATTTCGTTGATTGATTATGTTTAAATAATGTATAAACAACCCCCAAACTGCCCTTCAATAATGTTTTTCTGTATGGTTTAAGATTGGCAAATATTTTAAGTAATTTAAACTATAACTTACAGCATACTTAGAATGCGGGGGTTGTAACTTTCGTAATACACTGAACATTTTTATTTCGTTGATTGATTATGTTTAAATAATGTATAAACAACCCCCAAACTGCCCTTCAATAATGTTTTTCTGTATGGTTTAAGATTGCCGAATATTTTAAGTAATTGAAACTATAACTTACAGCATACTTAGAATGCGGGGGTTGTAACGTTCGTAATACACCGAACATTTTTATTTCGTTGATTGATTATGTTTAAATAATGTATAAACAACCCCCAAACTGCCCTTCAATAATGTTTTTCTGTATGGTTTAAGATTGGCAAATATTTTAAGTAATTTAAACTATAACTTACAGCATACTTAGAATGCGGGGGTTGTAACTTTCGTAATACACCGAACATTTTTATTTCGTTGATTGATTATGTTTGAATAATGTATAAACAACCCCCAAACTGCCCTTCAATAATGTTTTTCTGTATGGTTTAAGATTCGCAAATATTTTAAGTAATTCAAACTATAAGGGTTGTAACTTTCGATATACAGTAAACATTTTCGTTTCTTTGATAGATTATGTTTAAATAATCTGTAACAAACCCTTAAACAACCCTTTAATAATACACTTCCGTCTGCTTCAAGTTTGCGAATTTTTTTAAGTCATTCAAACCATTAATTCCATACCCCCAGACCCCCCGGTTCTAGATTTTTCCCCAAAATGTGTAATACACTTAGCACTTACACCAAATTGTTTCGAAAGAGCCTTAAGACTGAACGCTTTGAGAGTGAACGTTGTACCGGCGGGTCTGGGGGGTATGGAACCCCCCCCCACCCCCGTGTACGAAGGTCTTTATGTCAGTGGTTGATAAATGATGATGGGCCACTTTGCCTGGGGGGTATTTCAGACCCCCCGGTTCTACAGTCTTCCCCAAAATGTGTAGTAGTTACTCTTAACACTTAGACCAATTTTATTAAAAAATAACTTAGGACAGAGCGTTTTGAGGGTGAACGTATCATCGGGGGGCCTGGGGAGTATCGCATACTCTGCAAGCTATACCCTTAGGGAGAAAAAATCAATCTTCATGCCCTACAACGGTCGTAAGATATTCGTTACTAAGTCCCCCCCAGATTACACACTGAAGTGAGAAAAATTTGGGTCTTAATCTTCTACTTCTTAAGATATCCCGATCGGTTATTCGTGTTCTGTTGCCGTTTCCGGTTCCGTAATTCCCTAGACTTAGGGGCCTTTGCTAGTATTGCGTTTCTTCGTTTTGTGATTGTCAACTTAGTTCCCTTAAAAAAAAAAGGCAGCGGAAAATGGGTTAAACCGCGGATGAAATTGGCACGTCTATTTTTATAAAAGGTTTAGTAAATACGTCAGCCAAAGCCGTAATCGCAGCATGAAGTGATCACTCGAACTGCTGTTTGTCGCCATTACGTACATCATTTGCATTTAGTAGCGGTTATCCGATCTAGAATATTGGCAGTTGAAGAGTCTGCAAGTGTACCTAATTTAGCATAAACCGAGTTTATCTTACCTGAACAGATTAAAGCCTACTTCCCTTTCATCGAGCGGTTATCTCATTCAAGCTCATCCTCACCCTTGTAATTCGTTAGTAGGTAAACGGATCAAAGGTGGCAACCGACCGTAAAATATTCTTTTCTCCGATTGTCGTAGGGGAACTTTTGATATAATTATAGTTTACTATTAAGGGATGAATTTAAGCGATGCTATTGTGAAATAATAACAAAATTCGCTGATTTACTCAAAACGAACGTAGCAGAAAGTCTTACTGTGTTTTTGTGACTATAGGAAGGTATTGTGAAGAGAAGAGCGCATTTCAGGAATACAAATTTGCACTTCCTAGAGCTCTCTCAGTATCGAAAGTTCTAAAAGTGCCCGAAACTACGTTTTAGTCTGTTTCAAAGCCTTTCAAGAACTTTCTGGGAAACACCTATAGCTCTTCCCATAGTGTTTTCAGTTTTTTAATGTTGCAGATAATATTTTTAGAAATCTAGAGCGACATCGGGGCGCCATCAGGTTACCATCAAGTCGATAAACGATTACTCATTGGCGATAATGAATCGACATGGATCATATTCCATTCTAAAAATCGTTTTTAAAAATGTTGCTTCAATTTGAATTGCCAAACATAAAGCATCCATGATTAAAAATATGGGACATTGTTATTAACCACAGAATTCATTGTTCCAGAGATGCGTTTAACGGCGACGCTTCGGTGGTAGCGACAATCAAGAAATGGCCGCGTCCGAACCGAACGAAAATGAAACCGGCGCCGGCGACGGTAAAACGGAAACCGAACCCGACGAAGAGAAGAAGGCGAACGGCAAACAGGAGAAGACCACCCCCAACAAACAGGCCAAAGACGTAACGAGGGTCGTTGTTGTCGCGCTAACCCCCGACCGCCGTAGGGAAACATGGGACAAGAAGGTCGAGTTTTTACTGGCGGTAATCGGATTCGCCGTCGATTTGGGCAACGTCTGGCGATTTCCCTACATTTGCTATCAAAATGGAGGAGGTAAGCGCGCAAAAGATCCAACATCTCGATATTGGATGGCGTACGATTTTTTTTCTAAGTAGGTCGGATTACAAATTGATTCATTACACCGTATTCATCTCGTCGCTTACGCAAACTTATTGAATTACGACGACGAATGTAAATTGTAATCAGTTTATAATGCGAAAGTTTCAACTTTATCAATGGAGCGGTAATTCGTCTTGTAACAGACGTTCGTAATCATTTTAGGTGCCTTCTTAATTCCATATACAATCATGCTAATATTTGGCGGTTTGCCGTTATTTTATATGGAATTGGCGTTGGGGCAATTTCATAGAAGCGGGTGCCTAACAATATGGAAGAGAATTTGTCCTGCTTTAAAAGGTGAGTGCTTTTTTCACTTGTTATTGCTATTAAATAGGTTTTCTGTGTAAAACTATTAAGTACTTTTCATTTTAAATGTAAGTAGTATAGAAGTTCTATCCACCACAGATGGGGTAATATTTGAAGAAAATGCCCAGAATGTGGCGAAGATTTATGTATGCGAGAATTTGAAGACGAAATCTGCGGAACAAATTGTACGCGAAAAAAGACTTTGCTATATATGTTTGAATGCCGGTCACAATGTAGGGAGCTGCAGGAAAAACAAATGTAAAGCGAGACGTCATAAGTTGTTACACGAAGATATCACCTTTTTGTCACATAATCACTATGACAACCGGCCTCAAAATGCCCTCAGCAGAAATGAATGGGTGGTAGATTAGTGCCATTATGACATCCCGGAGCAAAATGGTTTAATACAAACACCCTATGTATAACTATCATTACACCTTGTGCAATGTCAATTTGGTCCCATCGGAACAAAATGACCGATCAGTTAACGACCTATTGGCACCGGTACAAAATCATCGATCCTTCATTACATCCTATACCCGGTGTCCATTTTTCGAGTGCCACTATGGGGATCTCACTTATCTTAAGAGATAGAAAGTTGGTTAAATGAGGGCAAAGTTGCCAATTTTCGTGCCGAATAAGAAACTGAAAAGAAATTTGAAATATCTTCAATAGTTTTGAAGATGTCGCAAAAAAACGAAAATTTCTGATTTTCGTTTTTAATTTTTTTTATGATAAACTAGATCGGAATGGAGCTCGCTGCGCTCGCTCCGACCGTTTCCGACGCCGTTTTGGTATCACCCGCCGAATTCGGTGCAACGACGGACACGGACATTTGCATGTCGTATTGTATAAGGTAAAAAAGCGGCACAATTCGATTCGGCTTAAAAAGGACCAACATATTGGTCAGCTCTTCTTTAGTCAATTTCATCGTATAGGTTGGTAAAAATGCTTCGCATTTTAAGTCTCCGCTAGAATGCGTTTCTCATAAATACCGCCGAAAATAAGAAAGTTACGTTTTGCGACCGCACCGCCTCGCCTCTCACACGTACCCAATTTGCCATCGATTCTAAAATGTGGACGAGTAATAATGGACACCAATGTAAAAAACTGCGTCGTCCTAACTCTCGGCGTCTCCGCATAAACGTCAAAATATGAAGAATGCGCATTCCGAAAGCAATGAAGTGTGGGGGTGGTGGGGACATAAGACCCTAAAGTAGTTGCCATCCTGCCTCACGCTTTTTATAGAACCGTAGAGCCGTTGACACATCGCTCGGCTTCGCCTCGCAGTTTGAAACACAAAAGAAGGCCTTGCCTCGCCCGTATACCGAAATCGCCGTCGATTTTAAAATGTGGACGAGCAATGTGGGAGACCAACATCGAAAACCGCATCGTTCGCTAACCCCCGACGTTTTTGAATTAACGCCAAATTATGGAAAAAGTGCCATCTGTATGCAATTAGGAGGGGGGGGGTAGGGGTAGGTTAACGTAAAATCATAATGTAGATGCTACCCGGTTTTTGTAGAATTGCTCGCGTAGAATCTTTGCCCAGTTGCTCGGCTTCGCCTCGCTCATTTGCGACGCAAAAAAAGGCATTGCTCGGCTTCGGCGGCTGTGCCGCCTCGCCTCGCGCGTTTTTATTCGATTCACCGTCGATTCTAGAACGCGACCGATCAATTAGGAGACCGACGTAAAAAACCGCATCGTTCTATCTTTGGGCGATCCCGAATAAACGCCAAAATATGAAATCTACCGATGAGGAGAGGTGGGGAGGAGGGAGTGTCGGATGTGAAGTCGAGGGATACAAATACGACCCCAGAATAAAAACCGCATCGTTCTAACCCTCGACGTTCCCGAATTAACGCCAAATTATGGAAAAAGTGCCATCTGTATGCAAGGAGGAGGGGGGGGGTAGGGGTAGGTTAACGGTAGATGCTCGGTAGAATTGCTCGTTGCTCGGCTTCGCCTCGCTCATTTGCGACGCAAAAAAAGGCATTGCTCGGCTTCGGCGGCTGTGCCGCCTCGCCTCGCGCGTTTTTATTCGATTCACCGTCGATTCTAGAACGCGACCGATCCCTAAAAATACAATTTTTAATTTTTTGAGAAGAGTGCTTTGGAAAAAGAAACTGTCAAACATTTGTTCAACAAATGAACGTTTTCTTTTTACAAAGCACTCTTCTCAACAAATTAAAAATTGTATTTTTAGAAAAAATGTGATACTGAACCACCATGTGTGATATATCGTTGTAAAGAGAAAAAAAGACGTAATCTTAAAATGTGAAAATTCAAAATGGCGCCCATAAGAAAAACTAAAGTTGCCACGTGTTTCTCCGTCATCTTGAAAGTTATTAAAAACAGGATGCCATATTTGAAATCTCCATTAAAAAATGTCCGAATAATGTGTTAATTAGAAATGTCTACTACGATTAGCTTATCATGAAAAAATTAAAAACGAAAATCAGAAATATATCTATCTATATATATATCTTCAAAACTATTGGAGATATTTCAAATTTCTTTTCAGATTCTTATTCGGCACGAAAATTGGCAACTTTGCCCTCATTTAACCAACTTTCTATCTCTTAAGATAAGTGAGATCCCCATAGTGGCACTCGAAAAATGGACACCGTGTATATTTACAATCACAGTAAACGATTCAAGTCTTCCGCACAAATTAAAACTTAAATTTACCGTAAATCCCCAGCACAATTTTAAACTTACCGCCACAATATGGCGCAGCCAATCGGAACGCGGCACTGTGACGTCACAATAGGGGAGGGACTTTTACTACCTTCTTCTAAAGGAAACGTTTCCCAGGCTTGGCTATAGCTCCTATCGAGATCGAAAATGTGATAAATTCGAGACCTTTAATGTACCTAGGTATCGGAGGAACCAATGGGCAAAATTGGGAACGGAAGACCACGAAACGTCATTAGCGAAGAAGATTTAAAATCGGGAAGACAATGGACAAGAGGAAGGAATTAAGTTTTGGAGTGAAAAATTGGCGAAAAAGATACTCCAACTCGAAAGACCAAGTGGTTCACAAATAAAGAAGAGCGAAACGGAAGATCTGGAGGGTTAGTTTTAATTGTGCATTCGGGAATGTGAACGTGGTTGAAAGGAAGATTGGGAAAGATTACCCAGGGAAGGGTGGGATTGTGCGGGTAGACGTGAAGACTCCATTGTCAGAATTCACATGGAAGGGAGAGGGGTGCCAACAACCCTTGCACTTGGGTAATAGGCATTGGGGGTAGTCAATGAAGGACGCTCTTCTGAACTGAATACTCCCCTTTCCAAATCTTTGAGATGATCCTGAAAGAATCTGTTTTGGCTACCGGACCGATACCCTGGTATCCTTCCAGGTCAAAATGATACTGTAAAACCATCGACAACCCACCCTAATTGAAATGTTCTAACTTTATGCACAAAAGAACCGTTGCGAGAGATGAACGAAATAATTAATTCTAACGCTCCCACGAGGTATTTACTTCGTATCGTAAGCAAAGGAAATATTTAAGGCGTCGGTTTCGATGTAAAAGAAATAAATTGGCGATTAAGCCCAAAGAGCGTTTCATTGTTTTTAATTTAAAATAAAGGGGGATCCCGTTTCATTACGTCCCTTTTGAAAGAAGTGATCGGAGCTATGGGAAATATTAAACAAAACGATGATTACGTCGAGCACTTCCATCTATCACAATGGCACACACACATTTTCCAATTACTTCTCGTACTTGAACAGTTTCTCCTTTGTGGAGGAGCTTTTGACGTATGTACGTAGGTATTTGCCAACAATTGAACTTACCTTTTAAAAGAGATAATATAGAATCAATGCGGGAGCCAATAGAAGTTGATTATTTGGTTAAAGACGTGCGAAAAACAACAGAAACCTTTTAGTTAGAAGTGGAATTGTAATTTTGGCTCATGTTCAATTCATTACCAGTTTATCTTCGGGCCTTGACTGAGAGAAATAGTTCTGCTTTTAAGCGAATGGACGTAAAAATATTATAATTTCAAATGAAATGCGATGAATTACTTTTATCTTTACGGATTTTCGATTTTAGGTGTCGGCTACGCCATATGCCTAATAGATGTTTATATGGGAATGTATTACAACACCATAATAGGATGGGCGGTCTACTATTTAATTGCCTCTTTCCAATCGGAGCTTCCGTGGACGAGATGCGACAACGTGTGGAATACAAAAAACTGCAGACCGGTCACCACCCTCGATCCGTTTGTTAATTCCACTAGTCCAGCCCGAGAATTTTTCGAGTAAGTGCAATAACTTTGTTTGTAATGCTCGAATCCGTGTCATTTCTGTTAAGTCTGTAGGTACGCTAATTTACATATAACACCGAGGATAATTTCCGACATCGAGCATCTTGGGATTAGGCCGGATTAACGTCAGCGAATACTTTTCAGTACGTGTAGTACAATGGAGTCGATCGTAACATAAATGAAACGAATAATCCTTGCACCGTCGTGTAATAGATCTTTACAATAAAAGGGGGTTGAATCTCCCTTCTTCAAACAAAAAACTTTTTAAGTAAACTCGGAAATTTTTTAGGCCAAAAATAATTCCTACTTTTTGCTCTTTCTCTGAATTTTTTGCTTCCTCCACTAGATCACCAGATAGTATGGAAACTTAACCGGTAGAGATGCGTCTTGTTAGACCTTTATAATTACTAGTTCCTTCTGCGCTCTCTATCCTCACCCTCTGTTGTGCTATTTGTGCAAGATTTCTAACTCATTTTCCATCTTTTTCTCCTTCTTCCTTCTCTTTTCGACCTCAGCCCGTCTGTATCTTTCGTAATGTTTAATTTTTAGTTCTTTATCCTCGCGGTCAAGCATTCTTTCACCAATTCACTTTCTCTATGGCCGTTTCTTCTATTCTTACCGCCCTGAACCCCTACACCATCCTTAATTTCTCCCTTTTTGGTTTTTTCCTCTAATACACAATTTGGTGTCCTTCTTCCGTTTAACCCCATTTATAATATCTTCTTTGTACTTCTTTCATTTCCTCCCATTCCTTCTATCCTCATATCTCCGTTCCGCACATGAGCACCTCTCCCCCTCTGCAATTCCACCTCATCTTCTCCTTAATTCTCTTATCTGCCCATTGGACCCCAGCAATTGAAGGTCGTGTGGTATGTGTAAGGAAATGCACAATTTTTGAGCTTTTTACCTCTTCCCATTATTTCCTTTATGTGTTCTACCTCCGTTGCCATGATTACTGCGTCGCCGAACTACCATCCTTTTTCTCCAATTCCTTTTCCACCAATCTGTATAATACATATATGCAGTCGATCGTTCCCCTCCCTTTTCTGAAGCCCATTTGCATTTCCTCCAACACCCTCTTCTCTTCCGTGTCTCTTTCTCTCCGTGGCACGTTTCCTTTCGTCGGTCTTTTTAATTGCTACTCTGCTGTGTTGCCTTTCCTGTTATCTCATCTTCTTCAACGTTCTCTCTTTCTACCTCTTCTTGCTATTGCTTTCCAATTGTATTTTCCTCCCCCTTCTTTTTTCTTTGTTCGTCACCTTCCAAAAATCCTTTTTTTGTTTTTATTTCCCTGATTTTCTCTTCGTTTTCTCTTTACATACTCTTTTGTATTTTTTGCTGTTCTCTCGCCTCTTTCTCTATATCTATTTCTCTCTTCTCTCTTTGTTCCACTACTCCTTCATTTTTGTCACCCTTCCCCTTCAGTTATTTGTTTCTACGCCATTACTTTTTTAATACTCTCCTTTAGATTATTCCACCCCTTCTCTGTATTTCCTCCTATTTCTTTTCCTTGTTCATTTAGGCCCTCTCTATACAGCTCCACCGTGTCTCTTGTCCATAACTGTCTATCCTTAAAACCTTAAATTCGTCTATTTCGTCCAGTACTCTATAACTTACATTATCAACCTCCATCTTCCTCACACGTATGTGAATTGTCCGTCCCTGTCTCACTCCATATTTACGTTTAAAATTAATTCAAATAACAATTCTTTCTCTTTGTTGTACTTTCTTGTGTTTCTTTTCCAATTTCTACCCATTTTTCTTTAATTCCTGTTCTGGAATTAAAACCATCCCCTAATGTTAGCCCCTTTTTATTCCTTCTCTGTTGTATATTGTTATCGCTCTCATTTTTTCCCCTCGACTTCTACTCGTCTGATATCTCTCGTTTCCTTTTCCCAATTCCTTTTTTTTAACCTCTGTATATAGATATCTGCTTTTGCTCTCGCCTGTATATATCCCTCAAATTCCACAATTTGGTTCTTCCACATGCATTCATGCGGGTTCCTGTTCATTATTTTCTCCCAATTCTTTTCCTCTATCCATGATTATATCATCCCCACGACATGAGATCCTCTTAAAAATTCCCAAAATTGAGCGTCTTTACCAGCCACCCCTGCTACATTCCAAAATATCATTTTCATGTTGCCCATTTTTATTTCGCTCTTTTGCTGTTATTTATTTATTTATTTATTTATTTATTTATTTATTTATTTATTTATTTATTTATTTATTTATTTATTTATTTATTTATTTATTTATTTATTTATTTATTTATTTATTTATTTATTTATTTATTTATTTATTTATTTATTTATTTATTTATTTATTTATTTATTTATTTATTATCCCTCTTTTCCCGTTCTTTTACTCTGTTCTCACTAATTCTTTTTTTTTTTGGTACTCCATCTGTATATTCTTCTTCATCTTCTACCATTTGTTTTCTGTATCATCATCTTAGTTTCTTGCCGTTTCCTCTTTCCGCAACCTCTCTAATTTCTCTCTGTACCGTTCCATCTTCATATATCAACTCGTCATCAGTGTATATCCCGTTCCTCTTTAACTTGTGCTTTCCCCTCATAACCGCCCTCTTTTGTTCTTATGTTGTTCTCTATTTTTTCCCTTTCTCTCCTATTATTTTGCTCTTCGAGTTTAGTTATCACTTCTGTCCTTTTCCTCATTGCTTCTTCCTTCTCGTCATTTCCACTCTTAATCCTCCTATTTACTCCATCATCTTCTCTTTATTTTTTCTATTTGCTCTTTTGTCTCATTAGCCGCTCTTCTTGGATTCTCCTTTACTCTTTCCATCAATCGACGTTTCGAATTCGATTAGCTACAGGCCTTCGAATTCTTTGCACCCACGGACGGCCTTGTGTTAATTTTAATTACGATTTCTTAGACTTGAGCTTCGTCAAGACTCAAAATCGAATTGTTCTCCTGGTTACTTAGATTTGAGCTCTACGACGGCTCAACCCGAAATGAACATTTCCCCTCTCTCGGAACCGACATCGGCAAAATTGGCAGTTTTCAAGTTTCCTTATCAAAGATCTTATTTTGCTCTTCGAGTTTAGTTATCACTTCTGTAAGTCCTGTTCCTTATCTCATTGCTTCTTCCTTCTCGCCATTTCCACTCTTAATCCTCCTATTTTCTCCATCATCTTCTCTTTTATTTTTTCTATTTGCTCCTTTGTCTCATTAACCGCTCTTCTTGGATTCTCCTTTACTCTTTCCATCAATCGTGACTCTGACGTTTCGAATTCGATTAGCTACAGGCTTTGCACTCACGGACGACCTTGTGTTAATTTTAATTACGATTTCTTAGACTTGAGCTCCACCAAGACTCAAAAGCGAATTGTTCTCCTGGTTACTTAGATTTGAGCTCTACGACGGCTCAACCCGAATTGAACATTTCACCTCTCTCGAAACCGACAAGACACATCGGCAAAATTGGCAGTTTTTAAGCTTTCTTATCAACAATTGGATATGATTCAGGCAAATAATTCCACCACATCAGGATTGTATCTAGGAACATTAGCCCATTCAAGGGCCCCGCTTCTGTCCGTAAGTGAAATGATACTAAGATCGACTACTTTCAGGCGAGAGGTGCTCGAACAATACCGATCGGATGGGCTAGATCGCATGGGACCCGTCAAACCCGCGTTAGCGATGTGCGTCTTCTCCGTATTCATCCTGGTCTACTTCTCGCTGTGGAAAGGAGTGCGGAGTACCGGAAAGGTAATACGACACGTCCGTCCGGTTAAAAACGAGGATGTTTCAGGCCGTTTGGTTTACGGCTCTCGCGCCCTACGTCGTCCTAATCATCCTGCTGGCGCGAGGAGTTTCCCTTCCGGGCGCGGCCGAGGGGATACGCTACTATCTGACGCCCGAATGGTACAAGTTGTACAACACGAGGGTTTGGATAGACGCCGCCTCCCAAATATTCTTCTCGCTCGGTCCCGGCTTCGGTACCCTACTCGCGCTTTCAAGCTACAACAAATTTAACAATAATTGTTATCGAGACGCAATATTAACAAGTAGCATTAATTGTTTAACAAGCTTTTTGGCCGGTTTCGTTATATTTTCCGTGCTAGGCTATATGGCGCATGTACAAAATAAGAGTATCGAAATGGTCGGCCTTGAAGGTGAGTCGATGGTCTTCGACCGGATGCTCGACTAACATCATCCGCTTGCAGGTCCTGGCCTTGTATTTATAGTGTATCCAGAAGCAATAGCAACAATGACCGGATCAGTGTTTTGGTCCATAATATTCTTTTTAATGTTAATTACGCTTGGCCTAGATAGCACGTTTGGCGGTCTGGAGGCGATGATAACGGCGCTTTGCGACGAGTACCCGAAACTCCTAGGACGGCACAGGGAGATTTTTGTGGCCGTTCTCCTCTTTGGTATCTACATTTGTGCCTTGCCCACGACAACCTACGTAAGTTACACCCCCCCCAGACAGTCAGCCTGGTAAAGTTAGCATTGCAGGGTGGAGTGTATCTGGTGAACATGCTGAATGTCTACGGGCCTGGACTGGCGATCCTCTTCGTGGTTTTCGTGGAAGCCGCCGGAGTTTTTTGGCTTTATGGCACCGACAACTTTGTCAGGGACATTGAGAAAATGCTCGGGCACCGACCGGGCCTGTTCTGGAGGCTGAGCTGGAAGTACATCAGTCCCGTATTCCTCTTGGTAGTATTCCACAGTGGTCTCAATTGACACTTACCGATTGTTGTAGACAATTTTTATATTTTCCCTGTTGGGGCACGCCGACATGTTGGGAACCGAGTATGAGTACCCGCAATGGTCGATGTACGTCGGATATGCACTCACGGGGTCTTCCATTATATGCATACCGTTGTATATCGTGTATAAATTTGTAATTACCCCGGGAAATGTGTCGCAGGTTCGTCAAATTTTGACCGAATTAATCTCACTGTTATTTTGCAGAGGTGGAAAATGATGTGGACGGCGGAGCACTCCTCAGAAAACAGCACACTAACATACTGTGGAGGTACGGAAGTGTGACCCCTCTGTGCTAAAAGCGCCTACACGACGGAATGGTTAGTTTAACCCTTCCGACTTTAATTTCAATGGGTAGGTAAAATTGACGGCCATAACTTACCTACCCCCGTTTGATAGATTTATACAAGTTAAACGTAGTAAGTGTATAGGCTAACTAAGTGTATTTATTTCCAATTACCAAAGGAGCAGCCATTGAATACATACATAAACAAACAAACAAAAATTGTTGTTCCTCGTCTGTAGCCTAGTTGCCTGTACAAGAAAACGGATGCCATGGATTTGCCCTTACTAATTAAGGCCTAACAATAATGCTCGTTCCCGGAAAAAACCCAGCCATTTTTTTCCTAAGGGAAAGCCGCGGCTAATTCATACGATCCGTTTCTTGAGCGACAAGCCAAGAAAAAACGAATTGTAAATAGTTCCTTAAAATAAGCTGTAAATATTTACTTAAATGTTTGTTGTTGCTAAATACAATCGTCGTCTGCGTAAGGTGTACATAAAAATTAGTACCCATTTTCTGTTGACAAGTCTCTGCGAGTGTTGGTCACTTAAACAGCCATAAGGCGACAGACACCAGCGCAGAAAATCGATTAGTTTATGCGTTAAAACGCTTACAACCATGACGTTACCATAAATCTATTATTAGAAAGGCCTTGTATAGTTTTTTATTAATAAATTATTTTTGTTTAATCGTTGTTATCTGTCACCTGTGTCCAAAAAAGCCGTTCCTTCCAATAACCAATCGATGAGTGACCTGAGGTTGAAAATCTTGGCCTGTATTACCAAAGTTACAACCCCTGCATTCTAAGTATCCTGTAGGTTATAGTTTGAATTACTTAAAATATTTGGCAATCTTAAATCATACAGAAATTGATTATTCAAGAGCAGTTTGAGGATTTTTTATACATTATTTAAACATAATCAATCAACGAAATAAAAATGTTCGGTGTATTACGAAAGTTACAACCCCCGCATTGTAAGTATGCTGTAGGTTATAGTTTGAATTATTTAAAATATTTGGTAATCATAAACCACACAGAAATTTATTATTCAAGGGCAGTTTGGGGGTTGTTTAAACATTATTTAAACATAATCACTCAACGAAATAAAAATGTTCGGTGTATTACGAAAGTTACAACCCCTGCACTCTAAGTATGCTGTAGGTTATAGTTTAAATTACTTAAAATATTTGGCAATCTCAAACCATTCAGAAATTTATTATTCAGGGCCAGTTTGGGGGTTGTTTATACATTATTTAAACATAATCACCCAACGAAATAAAAATGTTTGGTGTATTACGAAAGTTACAACCCCCGCATTATAAGTATCCTGTAGGTTATAGTTTGAATTATTTAAAATATTTGGTAATCATAAACCACACAGAAATTTATTATTCAAGGGCAGTTTGGGGGTTGTTTATACATTATTTAGACATAATCAATCAACGAAATAAAAATGTTCGGTGTTACGAAAGTTACAACCCCCGCATTATAAGTATCCTGTAGGTTATAGTTTGAATTACTTAAAATATTTGGCAATCTCAAACCATTCAGAAATTTATTATTCAAGGGCAGTTTGGGGGTTGTTTATACATTATTTAGACATAATCAATCAACGAAATAAAAATGTTCGGTGTATTACGAAAGTTACAACCCCCGCATTATAAGTATCCTGTAGGTTATAGTTTGAATTACTTAAAATATTTGGCAATCTTAGAAATTTATTATTCAAGGGCAGTTTGCAGAAATTTATTATTCAAGGGCAGTTTGGGGGTTGTTTAAACATTATTTAAACATAATCACCCAACCAAATGTGTATTACGAAAGTTACGTTAACGTGCTGATCTCTTCTGACGATCACCCCAAAAAGGAATTGTTGAGAGCGTCCATGAGTCCCGCGAGTTCAGAAAAACTCGGTTGTCAGCCTCTTCCCAAAGGAACTCACAACGTTTCCCTGGTTGTTGTTGACAAATCTTTATTTTTCACCATTGACAAATATTTACACCCGAAAGGGATACACAGAATATGATACCATTATAATGTCGTTGATCGTTGATGACGAGAGGCTGATAAAACTGGTAATAATACGATAATGTTAACTAAATGAGTAACCTTGTTTATTGTACAAGATCCTGGTCTTGGTGAAGGGGATTTCTCCGGTGACGTAACTAATGAGCGGCCTTGTTTGTGGTACATTTTGTAGGAAATCGTGACAAACATGGAGATACTACTTTGACTCTTGGTTTTTTTATGGGACTCAGGCTACACGTCTTTCTTCTGTAGGATTTTTGTAATTCCTTCTGTTCTACGAATCCTTCTGTGGTTTACTCTGTAGCTATTTCTGTTTGTTCTTCCATACTGGTCTCGCTAATTTCTTCTATGGCTTCTTCTGTACCTCCTTTTGTAGCGTCGTTCCGTATTTCCTTACGTACCTTCTTTTGCATTAACTTTCTTTTGTTTCTTCTACAACTTCATTAGTATGTATTCTTTATGTTTCTTCTTTAGCTTTTCTTATAGCTTCTTCTGCTGGAAACTGACTTTTTACGTTTTTCTGAAGTTATTTCCTGAAGTATCTTTTACAGTTTTGTTTGCAGTTTAATCAGTAGTTTCTTCTAGAGGTTTTTGCAGTTTTATTTATAATTTATTTATATTTAGCACCTTCTGTAGTTTTTTTCTGCAGTTCATTTTACTGATTCTGCTGTAGTTTACCCGTAGTTTTTTCTGAATCTGTTTCTGTACCAATTGAGGCTTCTTCTGTAGTTTGTCCCGTAGCTTGGTCCTGCATTGTCTTCTGCAGGGTCTTTTTAGATTTTTTTGTAGTTACCGCATTTATCATCTAGCTACTTCTGTAGCGTATTCTGTATCGCCGTTTCATATCTGCAGCTTCTCTTTCAGATTCTTCTGCAGGTTTTCCTGTTGTTTTTCTACAGTTAGTTTCCCATTTTATGTTGTAGTTTCCTCTAAAATTTCCTTTACATCTTTTTCTTATATAGTTGCTTCTGCTGTTTCTTCAACAATTACATCTGTGTATTCTCCTTTGCGTTTTGTTTACTTTTGTGGTTTTTCCTGTAGTTTCTTCGATATCTTGTGTCTACTTAATAATTAATTTAATGAGAATTGAATAATGAATTGCATTTTTACAATGCGGGCAACAACCTTACAGCTGCGTAATTTTACGCCAGCTAACTAAAACCCTATTGTCAACGTACAACAAGGCGCACCCCCAAAAAACTCCCCAAAATTCTTAAAAAAATCGAAGAATTTAATCCAAATACCGTTACATTATCAATAAGAATTTGCTCGTATAAGGAATTTTTTACAATTTCCTCTAATTGAGGTCAGCGAAACGTCCAGTTAATTCGCTTGTACTGCTGCGTTTGCTGTAAAAACTGCTGCGTTAAACATGTCGTTGGGCAATCTTTATTAGCTAAACATAATCTAAATAAACACCATACTACAAATACACTCCACAGATAATACTCGTAAACCACACACATAAATTATATTGTGATTGGACAATATACTCACGTCCAAAACTATTCACAATAATAGACCAGACCATTTCAAGGTTCTGTTGTGTTTTCCGTGAAGGGAAAACAGACCCCAGAATAGTTGCTTATTTTCAAAAACGGACTATAGTCCATAGTTCGTTTTCAAAGTTCACCACAATAATATGTTGCATATTTCCTTCCCATTTCTGTATACTACTAGAATAATACTTGGCCTTACTGTTTCGAAATTTCTCAATGCAAACAAGCTGGGAACCTTGTATGAGTTTGAATGGCATATAAATCCATCGGTTACAGGGTCTCGTCCTGAGGTCGTTCCTTTTATACGTCGTAACCGCAGAAATCGACATAGAAACGCGGAAATGATAGCACTGAAGTTACTGTTGCTGTTAGCCACCTGTGCAGGGGCTGAAAAACTTACGAACGTCAAGGGGCAAGTTGCTTTGGTAACTGGTGGCGCGCAAGGAATCGGTTACGCAGCCGTCGAGGCGCTTTTGCATGCCGGGATTAGGGTAAGCTTTCACCGGTAGTTACACCAAGTCTTAGTGCAAATCGCAGGGGGTGACTATAGTCGACTTAAATATTACGAAAGGGAAAACCGCCGCAAGAGCTTTAAACTTGAAGAATGGTAGCGGTAGGGTGGTATTTATACCTGCGGATGTTTCGAACGAAAGCCAACTTGAAGGTACAGCTCACAGCTTTCCGACCGCGCCTGCTCTTCACGGGCAGAATGCGTCACTTCTCTTAATTTCTGGGAAGTGGGTGCGGTCGCCAAGTCTAAGGTCAACCAGGAAAAGCTCTCTTGATTTCAGATGCATTTAAAATTTCCCTACAACACTGGAAAGGTTTAGACATTGTCGTCAACAACGCGGGGACTAGCAATGAGACCAACTGGAAGGCTGCAATCAACACCAACGTCGTATGTGAGTTGAAGCTGGGGGGAGGCTTAATTTTCTGAACACATTACAGGTTGGCACCTTGCAAGGCACTTTTTTGGGTTTTAGGTACATGAGCAAAGGTAAAGGAGGAAAAGGTGGCGTAATAGTCAATGTGGCGTCGATTGCCGCATTGGGCAATGAATTCTACATTAGTCCCGTCTATTCTGCTACTAAAAGCTTCATTTTGGGACTAGGGCGTACACTGGGGCACCAAGTCTACTACGATTACAACGAAGTGCGCATTGTTACCGTTTGCCCTGGCCTGACACGCTCCGACCTTGTCAGTGGAGACAGCATAAAGTCCCGAATGTCAAATGCACTTGTTCCTAATCTTCCAGATATCGCTGTGAAAGCTGTAGCAAATGGTGTTTTTCAGTCGTATGTACCAACGCAGTCGTCAATCGACTCTCGCTAACGATGCTTCTAGGTCGCGGAATGTGGGTGAAGGTATACGAATGGTAATCGAAGATGGGAGCAATGGAAGCGTCTGGGTCATCGAAGATGATGAGCCACCTTATGAGGTTGATTTTCCTGACAGGAAAGCCATGCGAAAAAAGGACCCGTAGCTTCTTTACACTTGGTCAAATTGTAGTTGATGTTGTGGCAACTTGAAGATAGCGGAACTGTTACTCAAAAACTTAAAATAAATAGTGTCAAGTACAGTGTTTTAATTGTCAAACTTGATACGCCACTGGAAAACAGCACGCCACTGGTAATATTTCAAAAGCATGGTGACAATGATTTTGTTTTTCTTTCTATTATGTTTTATATATATTTTATATCAATGCTTTGTTCCTTTATTCGGTTATCAAGGTAACGCCGTCATCTTGGACCCTCAACTTCTTTGTGTATCATTGACTTGTTGAATGTGTACCCTGAAAAATTTTTTCAAGGAACGGATTTGAACCGGCATCCATTGGATTAAAAGACCCTAACCACATGAGATGTTGAGGTTTATGCGATATAATGATTTAGTAGTTGTATTTATATTGAACAGTAAACACAATACAAATCTGTTTCATACAAGTAATTCTCATGGGTCGATTTCTTTAGGAGACTTCTTCGGGTGGTTTCGTATTTTTAATATTTTTTCTTTCTATATAAAATTTCCGTTTACTACGAATGAGGATACCCGAGGCTTCCGAGACCGTCCCGCAAATCACTGCTATCGCCGACCTTGATCAGGAACAAGGCCGTACCCCTTGATGACGATCGAATCCGTCTGTCCGTCCGTCCACCCGTTTATCTGTTCGGCGGACAACACGCCCAGGTTGCCGCTGACTGCATGTCCGCTCACATGATTTAGTTACTAGTTGCAAATGTATTTATTAAGCCGATCGATCCGGAAAATTCTTATAGAATATGGCCTGTAGAATCCATAATTTCAAACAGTTCCAAGATTGGGCTACTAGTTCAAAAGTTACAGCCCTTTGAATTTTTTTTCGAAATTGGTTTCTAGTCTATAACCTTGGATTGAGAAGTCTGATCGAAAAAGTACGAATTGTTTTGGATTCTACGCACCAAAATTAATAAGAAAAAGTGTTTTCCCGAGAAGTTTTGGTGCAGTCGATTTTTGGTAAAAAAGGAAGGTTATACACTGCCTTTTTTTGGGCCCCGAAAAAAAAATTGTCTCAAATCGATCCGGAAAATAATTTTTCTTATAGAATGTGGCCTGTAGAATCCATAATTTCAAACAGTTCCAAGATTGGGCTACTAGTTCAAAAGTTACAGCCCTTTGAATTTTCTTTCGAAATGGGTTTCTAGTCTATAACTTTTGATTGAGAAGTCTAATCGAAAAAGTACGAATTGTTTTGGATTCTACGCACCAAAATTATTAAGAAAAAGTGTTTTCCCGAGAAATTTTGGTGTAGTCGATTTTTGGTAAAAAAGGAAGGTTATACACTGCCTTTTTTTGAGCCCCGAAAAAAAAATTGTCTCAGATCGACCCGGAAAAAAAATTTTCTTATAGAATGTGGCCTGTAGAATCCATAATTTCAAACAGTTCCAAGATTGGGCTACTAGTTCAAAAGTTACAGCCCTTTGAATTTTCTTTCGAAATTGGTTTCTAGTCTATAACTTTTGATTGAGAAGTCTGATCGAAAAATACGAATTGTTTTGGATTCTACGCACCAAAATTAATAAGAAAAAGTGTTTTCCCGAGAAATTTTGGTGCAGTCGATTTTTGGTAAAAAAGGAAGGTTATACACTGCCTTTTTTTGAGGCCCGAAAAAAAAATTGTCTCAGATCGATCCGGAAAAAAAATTTTAATATTTGCCAGCACTGTTTCGAAATTGTTCAAAGTACGTAAGCTGGGAACCATTGTACGTATGTTAATGGTGTATTACTCAATCACCTAATCCGGTTACAGGGTTCCATTTAGAACCTCTTAAATGGTGTGATCAAATCAACACAGTAACTCTGAGACTCCGTATCAATGATACCACTTAAGTTACTGTTGCTTTCAGCCACGTGCGCATGGGCTGGAAAACTTACGAATATCGAGGGAAAAATTGCCATGGTAACTGGTGGCGCGCAAGGAATTGGATACGCAACCGTTGAGGCGCTTCTGCGTGCCGGGATCACGGTAAGATTCCATCGTCTTTTCAAACACATCAAAACTTAATATAGCGCAAATCGCAGGGGGTGACATTAGTCGACTTAAATATTACGAATGGGAGAACCGCCGCAAGAGCTCTAAACTTGAAGTATGGTAACGGTAGGGTGGTCTTTTTACCGGTGGATGTTTCGAACGAAAGCCAATTTGAAGGTAAGAAGTAAGCTAAACTAAAGAAATCTACTCTTGCATTCCAGATGCTTTTAAAATAACCCTACAGTATTGGAAAGGTTTAGACATTGTCGTGAACAACGCAGGGATTGCCAACGAAAAGAACTGGAAGCTTACCGGGGACACCAACGTCGTATGTGAGTTTAAGCTGGGAGAGGCTTAATGTTCTGAACACGTTACAGGTTGGCGCCTTGCAAGGCACTTTGCTGGGTTTTAGGTACATGAGCAAAAGTAAGGAAGGGAAAGGTGGCGTAATAGTCAAACTTGATACGCCACTGGAAAACAGCACGCCACTGGTAATATTTCAAAGGCATGGTGACAATGATTTTGTTTTTCTTTCTATTATGTTTTATATATATTTTATATCAATGCTTTGTTCCTTTATTCGGTTATCAAGGTAACGCCGTCATCTTGGACCCTCAACTTCTTTGTGTATCATTGACTTGTTGAATGTGTACCCTGAAAAATTTTTTCAAGGAACGGATTTGAACCGGCATCCATTGGATTAAAAGACCCTAACCACATGAGATGTTGAGGTTTATGCGATATAATGATTTAGTAGTTGTATTTATATTGAACAGTAAACACAATACAAATCTGTTTCATACAAGTAATTCTCATGGGTCGATTTCTTTAGGAGACTTCTTCGGGTGGTTTCGTATTTTTAATATTTTTTCTTTCTATATAAAATTTCCGTTTACTACGAATGAGGATACTCGAGGCTTCCGAGACCGTCCCGCAAATCACTGCTATCGCCGACTTTGATCAGGAACAAGGCCGTACCCCTTGATGACGATCGAATCCGTCTGTCCGTCCGTCCACCCGTTTATCTGTTCGGCGGACAACACGCCCAGGTTGCCGCTGACTGCATGTCCGCTCACATGATTTAGTTACTAGTTGCAAATGTATTTATTAAGCCGATCGATCCGGAAAATTCTTATAGAATATGGCCTGTAGAATCCATAATTTCAAACAGTTCCAAGATTGGGCTACTAGTTCAAAAGTTACAGCCCTTTGAATTTTTTTTCGAAATTGGTTTCTAGTCTATAACTTTTGGATGAGAAGTCTGATCGAAAAAGTACGAATTGTTTTGGATTCTACGCACCAAAATTAATAAGAAAAAGTGTTTTCCCGAGAAGTTTTGGTGCAGTAGATTTTTCGTAAAAAAAGGAAGGTTATACACTGCCTTTTTTTGGGCCCCGAAAAAAAAATTGTCTCAGATCGATCCGGAAAATAATTTTTCTTATAGAATGTGGCCTGTAGAATTCATAATTTCAAACAGTTCCAAGATTGGGCTACTAGTTCAAAAGTTACAGCCGTTTGAATTTTTTTTCGAAATTGGTTTCTAGTCTATAACTTTTGATTGAGAAGTCTGATCGAAAAAGTACGAATTGATTTGGATTCTACGCACCCAAATTAATAAGAAAAGGTGTTTTCCCCAGAAATTTTGGTGCAGTCGATTTTTGGTAAAAAAGGAAGGTTATACACTGCCTTTTTTTGAGCCCCGAAAAAAAATTGTCTCAGATCGATCCGGAAAAAAAAATTTCTTATAGAATGTGGCCTGTAGAATCCATAATTTCAAACAGTTCCAAGATTGGGCTACTAGTTCAAAAGTTACAGCCCTTTGAATTTTTTTTCGAAATTGGTTTCTACTATTTCCCATTGAGTAAATCCTGCCAAATAGACGGGAAATTAAATTAAGTGAATTTAGTTCCAAGTATCTCATAATTTTGTGCTCATTATGTGCTAATTTGTGCTACTAATTTAAAATTTTGTGCTCAGATCAGATTAATGAGTACTAGGTAATTCAACTGTTCCTGATGACTTTCCAACTTCACGCTGTAGTATTTTGGAACTTGTTTTATATGACGTTAAACGGTTTTGCTACATAACAATACGTTCTTAAGGGAATTTTTTTAATGAAACAAATCCCTAATGTTATGGTTTTGTCCGTCCGTTTGTTCGTCTGTTTCCGTCTAACTCGAGAACGAAAAGAGACAGAAGAGACAATGATGTCAAACCTACGTCAATCGGATGCTATTGACTATGAACCGGATTAAAGATTATCTTTGCGAATGTGAGCTCGGTCAATGTCAGACAATTCATTTTTCCGACCCAAAATATAGCCATAATATTTTGTATGGTATAGCATAATATAACACAAATGGCATTTTCACCGAAAATCAACTACTCCAAAAATTTTCTGGAAAACACTTTTTCCTATTAATTTCGCTTCGTAGATCAAAATCAAAATCAAAACAGTGACATCTATTAAATGGTCTAGAAAGCTTTGGGGGTAACTTGCTGGGATTCCTTCACCGTTACTCCTCCAGTTCTGAAAATGGCATGGAATGGCATAGAAAGCTGTAGAAAGCTTTTAAACCCTAGGAGCTTTGGAAAAGGTGTCCCAGGTTAGGTGACTCCGAGAAACTGAGAAAACTCTGCACAGGGCCTAAAGAACCTACAAAGAGCTTAGAAAAAGGATGCGCACCTTTGAAAATGCTTATAGTGTGGTCCTCGAAAGGCGTCATGAAAGTTCTTAGGTTGCTTTAGAAAATACTTACCCATAAAATCTCAAAATATGAAAACATAAAATATCTTCGTTCAAGGACATCTGAGCAAAATTTGTACAATAAAACATTAAACAGGTAAACAAAACCACTACGTAACGTATCTCCAAGTATGATTCTCTAGGGCGTACTCAAATTCAACTTAGCTCTACGAAAGCAATGTTAATTCCATATACTAAAAACACACAATAAACTTGGAAATAGACTAGGGTAGAAGTACTCTAATTCACAATAAATTGAGTACCGCAAATAAATCTCTGGTAAGAAATGAAATTAGACGGTCTTAGTATGGTGGCAGCGAGAAATGGTCACGAAAATGAGGTAGACGTCAAACCAGCGTAATGAGGGGCATTAGGCAAGGACGTCACGCGAACTAAATCAAGAAAAATGTTGCAGCATATGAAAATCAATTGAAATCGTAATTAATTAAATTAATGTTTAGAAATTCGCTCACTGGGAACTGTAGTAAAATACCATACATTTCTCACGCGTGCTTTACATTCTCCGATGGTACCCCATATACAAATTTGAAGGTTGCCTCTGCCTGTATAAGTAGGAACAGTAGCCTGAATTAACCCAGTAAAGGTCATGCAATCGCTAAAGTTACTTTTTCTCATAGCGACAGTCGTCGTTGGAGCGGAAAGGTTCGATATCGAGGGAAAGGTAGCGTTGGTAACAGGTGCCGCCCAGGGAATCGGTTACGCGACCATTGATGCGCTCCTACGTGCCGCAATCAGGGTGCGTAGAATTTCGTAGATCGTTAAACGAAACGCACAAGTTTCAGGGGGTGACATTAGTCGACAGTAACAACGCCAAGGGGGAAAGTGTCGCGAAATCATTGAACGCACGGTATGGTCCCGGTAAGGCGATCTACATACAGGCTGATGTTTCAAATGGCGACCAACTTGAAGGTAAGTTAAGTTTGCTGGATGCAGGGTGAACGCACCCGTTTTCCAGATGCGTTCAGGGTTTCGCTTCAGCATTGGAAGGGGTTGGATATTGTTGTTAATAACGCGGGCATTGGGGATGAAATCAACTGGAAGAGTATGATTGATATCAATGCGGTAAGTTAATGGTGCAAACGCATGCCATTTTTTATGACATTTCAGGTTGGAGTGTTGCAAGGCACCCTCCTAGGATTCAAGTATATGGGTAAACATAACGGTGGAAGGGGAGGTGTTGTTATAAACGTATCGTCGTATACTGCACTGAGCCCTCTTTTTTCTGCCCCAGTTTATACCGCCTCGAAAAGCTTTGTTTTGAGTCTGGGGCGCACTTTGGGCCACCCAATCTATTACGAACATAACGATGTGCGTGTTGTTACCGTTTGTCCTGGCCTAACTCAAACAAGTCTGTCTGAATCCGAATTGGCTCGTTCCGTTTCGATTTCACTTGCTCCCCAAATTATAGACCTTGTGCGGAGTATGATAGAGCATGCGAAATTTCAGTCGTATGTACCTCCAAATTAGGCTTAGTTACTAGCGAAATTTTACAGGCCGCAAAACGTTGGAGATGGCATACAAATGGTAATTGCAGAGGGAAGTAATGGAAGCGTTTGGGTTATTGAAGACGATGAGCCACCTTACGAACTTGACTTCCCTGACAGAAGAACCATGCGAAAAAAGGCTTTTACCTACGCGCCTTGATTGTCACAACTTTTGTCACTTCCTCACAGTTTGGATGAAATAAACTATAATTAGAAAATTGATAACTTCGCCACACCAAGTAATGCGTATTGGTTACTTGAAGTCAACTTCTTTTGCTTATCTAATTTTGTTGTGAATTAGTGTACTACTATCCTAGTCTATTCCAAGTTAATGTGTTCTTTTAGCAATATGGGATGAACATCGCTTTCGTACCGTGTAGAAAAGTTGAAGATTGATGTCACTATTAATCCTATATTGTTGAGGAGTCGTACTTGGAGATACGCTACATAGTTGTGCATTTGCCTTGTTAATGTTAAATCTTAAATGCATTTAATTAATTAGTAATTGGTCAAGTTCAAGACAAACTTTATAATTCTAAGATTATTTATTTATTTATTTATTTATTGTCTCTCTTTTGTTATGGGCCCACAACAGAAGGCAAGAAAGGCAGAAAGGCAAGTCCAAGCGGTCCCCTCCCCATTTTCATTGTCCTTTGCAAGAAAATGTAACGGGATTTGTCGAATTTTATATATCGGCAAAATTGTACAGGTACCGCTTCATAAGGGTAGCAGTTGCGAGCCAGGTGGCTAGCGATAGACGTTTTAAGAAACGTAAGATGTTAGCGGAATCGAGGCGAATTAATAGAAAATGCGTTAAGCGTGACCGCACAGTGCAAATTTGAGGAGGTTTCGAGTGTCACAATCTCAAATATATTCAACGCGAGAGTGTCTTACTAGTTTCGAGCGCGCCACACTTCATGAACTTGTATCTATGGAGAATTCGCTATTATCAACTAAGATCACCTTGACATCAGAGAAGTGGACTCGAACCATTCTTGGAGACCACTTTATGCCTTCTTCACAATTTTTTTTCACTCTTTTAAGCCACTTAAGTAGTCACATAGGGCCGGTGGTAAACCACTTCAATGTCACTCGCCATCTGGCGGTGACCTTTAGGTCCTTTGGTGACTGCATTCCTTTACAACTATTTTTGTATCGTTTTTTATTTTCGTTGCAAATTCTGTAGCTTTTCTACTACCTCTCTTTCTGCATTTTCTTATGGAGTTGTTTCTGTAGTTTGTTATTAAGTTTTTCTCCAGTTTATTCTACGTTTTCTTCCGCTGATTCTTTCGTCTGTAGTTTCTTTCTTTCGTTCTTCTGCTCTTCTTTTTTTGAATTTTCTCTAGTGTGCTCTTCCTTCCTTTGAAACGCTGTTTGTAACTTCTTCTGCTGAGGTTTTTTGCAGTTTCTTTTGCACTCCCTCCAAGAGCTTCTTTTATAATCTCGTCTATAGCCTTGTCTACGATTTTTTCTATTGCTCCTTCTGGAATTTCTTCTCCAGTTCCTTTTAGAGTTGCTTATGTAGGTTTGGTAGTTTTTCCTACAACTTCTTCTGTAGCTGAATTTACTACTACTCCTGTAGCCCACTTTTTTTCTACAGCTTCTTTTGCAGTCTCTGCCGCAGTTTCTTATACAGTTTTGTTCTGTATGATTTCTGTAGTGTATTCTATTGATCTCTTTGCGGTTTACTCTGTTGATTCTTCTATAGTGACTTTTCTAATTTCTTCTGTAACTTCCTCTGTATCTCCTTATAGAGCTTCCCCTGTAGCCGTGCTTGTAATTTTCCCCGTGTAACTTCCTTGCAGACAGAGTCATCATTATGCCCTACAAAGATATTCGCAGACCCCCCGGTGCTACGTTCCCCTCCGCGCGCTCAGGAAGGGAGACTCTCCAAACATGATGGTGTAAGTGCCAAGCGCTCTAAACCTCTTAGGAAGAATGTAGAACTGGATGGTCGGGGGGGGGGGGGGATTGAATACCAACCGGCGCCGGATATTCGTATGCTGGTGGCATTCCTTACCACCCAGACCCCCGGTGCCACATTCGGCTCTTCTTCTGTATAGCTTCTGCAGTTTCTTCTGTTATTTTTCAGTAATTGCTTCTGTGATTCCTGCTGTGGCTGCAGGTTTTTTCGTCGTTACATTCTTCTGTAATTTAGTCTGGAGGCTTTTATCTACTTCAGTTCCATCTGTAGCTTTTTCTGTCCCCTCTAGCATCTTCTGTGACTTCTTCTTTTACAAATTTTATTCTTTTTCTGCAGCTTTTTTTTACGCTGCCGCTTCTTCTGCAGTTGGTACAGCAGTTTCTTGGGAACTACTCCTGGAGTTTATTCTGAAGTATCGACTGAAGCGTCTCCTGTGGTTTTTTTTACATTTTCTTCTATAGATTTTGCTCCTACCATAATTGTGAGTACCCTCTAGAATAATAACGTCTCTTCTATGAATCTGCATTCGTGTCAACGTCTGGTACCCGTTTCAATAGTGGAGCTAGGATTTCTTTCACCTAAAGTGGTGTTTCTGTGCCAGTTGCTCCTTTACCAGCCCAACGAAAGTGTTACTTTTCGTGTTCGAGCCAATAGATCATGCGATTCAAAGGATCTCGTCCAGTAAAAATTGAGACTTTGCTCTTTGGTTTCTCGTAACGTATGCAAATTGCATTGAAATAATTAACCTTCTCACATAAATTGCTTGGTTTAATTCAGTTAACGTATTACATAATTTAGTTGCCCTTGTTAAGGATATGAACTGGGTGAATAAGGTTAGTGTGCCAGAAATGCTTTTCGAAATCCAGGGAAAAATCGCGCTGGTAACAGGGGGCGTACAGGGAATTGGGCATGAGGCCGTTGAGTCGCTTTTGAATTCCGGAGTTAAGGTACGTAGGCCCTCATTTACGCACATCAAGACGCATTTTTTGCAGGGGGTGACATTAGTCGACGTAAACACCGCGAAGGGGAAAACTGTCGCGGACTCATTAAACGCGAGGCATGGCCAAGGGAGGGTGATCTTTTTACCGGCGGATGTTTCGGACGAGACCCAATTTGAGAGTAAGTATGATTGGCTGGAGGATTTGCGCACTTTGGCTACATCAATCTGCCTTCCGAAGGGAAAGTTTGAGGTTTGTTGTTCTATCTATAGGAAAGATACCAAAAACAAAATGATTGGGAAGCACTTAAACTCTCGTAACCCTTTTTTTAAAATCAGGACCTTGGCCGATTTAAAGGCTATAAAACAATGTGGAAGGCTCTTCAGGGTTATGATGTTCCTTAAGGTTCGATTTTTAGAGGCTCATACAAGCTAAATATCTGCTATACCTAGATTTCAAAAGCATACTGGAGACTTTTCAAGAAGTTCGAACACGTTAACCCTAAGGACTCCCAAAGGTTCATAATTGCTTTAAAGGTTCGTCTTCCAAACTTCCCAAATTAAAGTTTTAAACGCCTCTTGAAAACTGGTTGAGACGAATGACAACCACTTGAGTGACGTCATGTCAGTGATAGACTCTGTGTGGGATTTCGTGGTTCAGGGAAAAAAGCTGTGCCGCAGATCCTCAGGGTGAAAAAATGATATTATAAGTTTTTCAAGGTACATTTTATCTATCTCCTGAGCATTATCTCAGGTGGTTCATGTTGAGGACAAGACTGTCCCCGACCACTAACTAATACCTATGTATTTAGAAGGTCCATTCCCCTAAGAGCCTTTTTGTAATCGCAAGAGCTGGTCGATTGGCATAAAATGTCTTTTTGGTACTAAATTTTGTATACAGGGTGGCAATTTGAAAACTTACCACCCCCCAAGTCTTAGTAAATAAACGAGATATTTTAAACCCTATAAACCGAAATAGCTTTTGATTTGACATCACTAATGGATATACTTCTTGCAGACGTTTCAATCGTCCTTTGTGAGTACCCTCTTCCGACAATCCGTTCTTGAGTTATAAGGGAATATACCCGATCACGATAAGAGGTCAAGGAGGAGGGCTATGGTTGGTAGAAATTAATTCCTTTCGTTCAGACCTTTCATTAGAGTACCATGAAGGATAAAGCTAGTTCCACACCCCCCTTCCTCTCTCACCGTTCTTTGATAAGAGCCCCCCCCCCGCCATTTCCTAAAGTTTAACTTGGCACCACTAAAGGCAATGCAAAATCTGAGACCAATTTTGGTTGTCGTATGTGAAAGTAAAAGTAAAAAAAATGTAAAAGATGCACGTTTTACTTTCAAAAACAGTATCTCAGAAAAGTATTCGTGGGGGGGGGGCCCTTTTACACAGCGAAATTTGTAGGCCGTCTGGCACACCTTCAAGGTATAGGCTACCTACTTCACAAAATTCCAGGAGTCTAGGACCATTCCCCTAGAAGTAGTTCAAAACAGTAGAAGTGAGTCCGGACGGACGGACGGGCGGAGGGATTTAAATGAAATTCGATACATAGCCACTTGGAATAAAACCAAATGTAGCGCCATTTGCAAATTTGGTTTTGTGTAGGATGTGCAGTGCCAACTTCCTTGTTTATGGAAGAAAGTTCGTAGGGGTGTTTAAAAAAATGCGCTTTACCTGCACAAGGGTTGTGCCCAATTTGTACTTGTTTTTAATTGTTAAAAAATGCGCTAAAAATCAAAATCCGTTTCGGTAATTCGGAGGGGAAATCACAATGACATTTTTTAAGAGTTAAAGAAAATGTGCTATTTTTTGTGTTTTGTCCGTCCGTCCGGAACCACTTCTACCGTTTTGAACCACTTGTGTTGTGTGTACCAGACGGCCACTATATTTCGCTGTCTAAAAGCCCCCCCACCCCCCTCCACGAATTATTTCCTGAGATGCTGGTTTTGAAAGTAAAACGTGCATAACTTACATACGACAAGCAATTGGTCTCAGATTTTCTGTACGGACACCTTTTGTGGTGCCAAGTCAAACTTTAGAAAATGGGGGGGGGGGGGGTTAACACATGCAGTTCTACCCTGCATGGTATTCTAATGAAAAGTCTCATCGAAATAAATTGGTTTGTACAAAGTATAACTTAGTGAGGCGATGTGGCTTGATGGGGGGGGGGGGGGGGGGGGGAGGGGGGATTGGAAATAATTTTATCTCTTATTGTATTCTAATTAAAGGTCTCAACGAAAGGAACCGTTTTCTACCAACTACCGCCCTTCTTTCCGTCTTCTTATCAAAGTACGGGGCGGAGGGAGAGAGGGGGGATAGAACTAATTTCATCCATGGTACTCTAATGAAAGGTCTCAACGAAAGGAATGAATTTCTACCAACCATAGCCCTCCTCCTCGACCTCTTATCGTGATCGGCTATATTCCCTCTTATCTTAAGAGCGGACTGTAGGAAGAGGGTACTCACAAAGGGCGATTGAGACGTCTGCAAGAAATATATCCATTGGCGATGTCGATACAAAAGCTATTTCTGTTTTAAAAATGCGCTTTATCTGCACAGAGGTTGTGCACAACTTATACCTGTTTAAAATATCTCGTTTATTTACTAATACATGGGGGGGGGGGGGGAAGTTGTCAAATTGCCACCCTGTATACTTTGCTGAACTTCACTTAAGTTTCGATGGGTACCTACAGTCGCCAAAGTTGCCGATATGTCTACAAATTGTATAATAACAACTCCTTCCAGATGCATTCAAAGAGTCTCTAAACCATTGGAAAGGTTTGGACATTGTAATCAACAATGCTGGGATTCTGAACGAAGACAACTGGAAGATGATGGTCAATACCAATACTGTAAGCGAACTTAGAGAGAAGAATATTACCTTTTTTTTGTAAATATTTTAGGTTGGCACGATACAAGGCACGTTTTTAGGGTTGAAGTACATGAGTAAAGCTAAGGGAGGTAAAGGTGGGGTGATTGTAAATGTATCGTCAGTTGCGGGGATAGACGACGGATGCTACTTCATGCCCGTGTATTCCGCTACAAAAAGTTTCGTGTTGACGTTTGGGCGTTACTTGGCGAACCCACTGTACTATGAACACAATGAGGTGCGCATTGTAACCGCTTGTCCTGGCTGGACAAGTACTGACCTCGGTCGCAATTTAATTGATCGTCTTTCAAATGCAATCTCTCCACATGCCAGGGATAAGGCGCGCGAGATTTTATACAAATGCCCAAGTCAATTGTGAGCATCACCGTCATTTATCTTAACATCTGCTAATTATCGTTACTTACAGAGCGAGCAACGTCGGAGACGGCATACGCAAGTTAATCGCAGATGGTGCCAACGGAAGCGTCTGGGTTATCGAATCTGATGAACCACCATATGAGCTTGATCCTCCCAAAAAAGAAGCTTTGCGCAAGAAATATTCGGGAACATAATAATGTAGTAGTTTCCACAAGCTTTTGATGTCAATAGAGACTGGATTTCCAATTAAAATCTTGTTTTCAAAAGAAAATCTCGACTCGGCTGTATTCTTCACCTTCCCATACCTCCCATATTTCCATATGAGTGTGCCATTTACTCGTCATACATAATGAAAACAGTTGGAGAAACACAACACTCCTGCCTATCTTTTAAATAGTTTGTTTTGTACCAGTCTTTCCCTGAATTTTCTTTTGTATACCCTGTTCTAGCTTCTTTTGAAACTGTATCTTTTTCTGCTCTTTCCTGTGCTGTTTTCTCTTCAGTTTCTTCTGCACTCCCTTTTTGGCAATATCGTCTATAGTTTTGTCTGACATTTTTTTTATAGCTCTGTCTGGAATTCATAGTACACGTTCTTTTAGAGTTTCTTCTGTAGGTTTTGTAGTTTTTCTTATAGCTTATTCTGTACCTTAATCTGCTGCCACTTCTGCGCCACTCTGCAGTTCTTCTCCGGAGACTTTCCGGTATTCAAGGGCAGTTGGGGGTTGATTATACATTATTTAAACGCAATCAATCAACGAATTAAAAATGTTAACTGTATTACGAAAGTTACAACCCTTGCATTCTAAGTATGCTGTAGGTTATAGTTTAAATTACTTAAAATATTTGGCAATCTTAAACCATACAGAAATTTATTATTCAAGGGCAGTTTGGGGGTTGTTTATACATTATTTAAACATAATCAATCAACAAATTAAAAATGTTAACTGTATTACGAAAGTTACAACCCCTGCATTCTAAGTTTGCTGTAGGTTATAGTTTAAATTACTTAAAATATTTGGCAATCTTAAACCATACAGAAATTTATTATTCAAGGGCAGTTTGGGGGTTGTTTATACATTATTTAAACATAATCAATCAACAAATTAAAAATGTTAACTGTATTACGAAAGTTACAACCCCTGCATTCTAAGTTTGCTGTAGGTTATAGTTTAAATTACTTAAAATATTTGGCAATCTTAAACCATACAGAAATTTATTATTCAAGGGCAGTTTGGGGGTTGTTTATACATTATTTAAACATAATCAATCAACGAAATAAAAATGTTCGGTGTATTACGAAAGTTACAACCCCCAATTATAAGTATGCTGTTGGTTATAGTTTGAATTACTTAAAATATTTGGCAATCTTAAACCATACAGAAATTTATTATTCAAGGGCAGTTTGGGGGTTGTTTATACATTATTTAAACATAATCAATCAACAAATTAAAAATGTTAACTGTATTACGAAAGTTACAACCCCTGCATTCTAAGTTTGCTGTAGGTTATAGTTTAAATTACTTAAAATATTTGTCAATCTTAAACCATACAGAAATTTATTATTCAAGGGCAGTTTGGGGGTTGTTTATACATTATTTAAACATAATCAATCAACGAATTAAAAATGTTCACTGTATTACGATAGGAACCAATTTCGAAAAAAAATTCAAAGGGCTGTAACTTTTGAACTAGTAGCCCAATCTTAGAACTGTTTGAAATTATAGATTCTACAGGCCACATTCCATAAGAAAATTTTTTTTCCGGGTCGATCTGAGACAATTTTTTTCTAGGGGCTCAAAAAAAGGCAGTGTATAACCTTCCTTTTTTACCAAAAATCGACTGCACCAAAATTTCTCGGGAAAACACCTTTTCTTATTAATTTAGGTGCGTAGAATCCAAATCAATTCGTACTTTTTCGATCGGACTTCTCAATCAAAAGTTATAGGCTAGAAACTAGTGATTTTAAATTACACGTTTTTTTTAAGTGCGTAATATTACGTGTAAAATTACCAATTGTTTATGTTTTTTTATGTAATTTATGTAACTTACCATTTTTTTTTTAAAGAAACCGTAATTTTACAGTAAAATTACCAGTAATTTATGTTTTTTTATGTTTTTTTTTCAATATTGTATAAACCTTTTTGAATTTTGTGAGTGTTTGAAAATAAAAACACTTGTTAAATTATATATTTTGGTGTATTAAATAAAATACCCAAGCAGTAGGTATTTCCCATCACGCGTTGTTTTGAGGAAGAAGCTCCAGATCGCGAATTAGAGGCTGTATCATCGTCATTAAACCAAACTAAATTCAATGGTGAATCGTTTACGTTGGTAGTACCGTTGATGATCTGTGGTAGTACCGATCAAAATGTATCAAATTGGTATTACATTTATGTAACTTACAAATATTACGGTTTTTTAAATTAAGAACATAAGTTTCATAAAAGACATAAGTTACATAAAAAAACCGACCTCTTGTAAGTTACGCGTAATATAACCGTTTTTTATGTAACTTACAAATCGTTATTTTACAATCCACATCACTAGAAATAGTATGAGTTTGTATCTAATGCGGGTGTTCCACACGGCTCAGTCCCAGAGACGATCTTGTTGAACGTCATGTACGACAGGGTGTCATATGCACCTAGGGAATAACAGGAAGAATGGTACTCGAAGATTTTATTAAACGAAATCACTATAGCTATCAAGGACGCGAATTACGTCATCGTAGAGCAGCTCAACAACATCAATCGCGAACAAAAAGTCGAAATGGTTAAACGAGTCCAACTTCACCCTGTGCTTAACGACACACCTCGGCAATTTGCGACACAAGAGCTCCACGTCCTAAAAGAGCAGTTGGCGAAAACGACGATTCTGAGCTACTAACTCACCTTCGGCCGAGACAGTAAATCCCCGTCAGAGTAAAACAGCGCTACCGGTGCGGTGATTTTGTTCAGATCGTACGCGGGAGGCATCGCATTTTTGTACTTCTGCAAATTTTTGGACCGTCCATGGTTGTACTGAACAAATTCCCCTGGAAACATGAAAATGACTTGGACGTTACCGTTTGCGTGGACCAACCTGAGTTGATGACCTGCGCGAAGTGCAAGATCTGTCGAAGGGAAACCGGGGAAATCGATTTCATTATTGTCACCAAATCTTCCTGCAATCGTAGATTGGTAGCATACTCCTGGTAGCCTTAACTGACCTTATCGAGCTGTGTTGGGCTGTGCCCGCCAACGAAAAATAGCATAGCAGCGCAAGCATCTACAAATATGCTGCTCGTGTGGCACATTGAAGAAGTCATAGCCGTCACAAGCCTCTGCATACGTTTGGGTGGAATTTCGTACATGTTGAGCATTCCCCCCGCCACCTAGAGCAGGTTTCGCACCTTCACAATGACTCACCAAGGTGTAATTACGTTAAGCAGTTGCTCAAACCGGGAGGAAAACAGCAGCATGGGGTTGTTGATGTGTCGCATGAAAGCCACGGGAGCCAGTGATATTATCACTGAAAGGTCATTGTTGTACTCACTCCTCTCGGCACCTAAAACGTAGGAGGCAGTCGTTGCCATCGACAAACCAATGTAGCCGATGCGTTTTTGTTTGGTCACGCTCTTGATTGTGTCTATTATGGCCGGAAGATCGTAGACACCAACCTCGTGCCAGCTGAAAGTGAACAAGAATAGGCAGCCTCGAGCCACGACCTACCTAAAATACCAAAACTCTGGATCGACGTCTGGATTAAGAGCGAGATGCTTGCGCGAATAGCTGGTTCCTCTACCGTTCACCAGCCAAACGTCATATCCACGATCGGCCAAGAGATAGGCCAGTCCTCGTTTCGGCCCCATGACCAAGTAGTCCCTGGACGATCCAAATAAACCGTGCCCCACCAGCACAGCGGGCCGTTTTCCAGTTGTGACGTTTAGACCGTGTTCGATTCGAAACAAGTCCAACAGGTAACCGTCTTCTGTAACAACCGAAATGTTTTCGAACGGATAACCTCCAGATCGCACGAATTCGGCCTGAAACTGGAACCTGCACCGAAATTTTTGAACGGCGGCGCGGACTTACCACGTCGGAAACTATGTCGGTTTGCGACGCAAAAGACGTCGCAAGCATCAAACCAACCGGCACGAATCGCGAAATGACTGCCGCAAGCATGGCGACGATGTGAATCTTGAAGACGTTCCCGATTTTTTATAGTCCAATAAATTTTCAATGTCACGTATTTGATACATAGCATAATTCTAGAAATTAATTTGCGACAATTTGTGTAATGACTTCCTGTGCCTAGGAAAATGCAACGGGAAATGCACACGATACAAATAACAGTTTATTAGCAGGCACGTGGCGTTGCGTGTTTTAAGAAGAAAATCGATGGCATTTCTTGTATTCCAAAGTTATCTAAATACTCGCAATAGAGATTTTGTCGTTACGCCTTGGTGTACTCCATTAAAACGCATACATTGGGCGCTCCACACCATACGAATTGAGAATTTAAGCTTGATTAGAAGCCTTTTGTAAACATTTCGCTTAAACACCTCCTCGCACATTATAACCTCCTGATACCAAATTGGAAAAGATTTAAACCGAAATTTGGCTTCGAAATATGTTTGTGGGTGATGGGAAAAGACCTCCCCGACTATTATGTTCTCCTGGTAGCCAGACAAAATTTTAAAAGAATTTTCTGATTGTCCCCTCGTGTATTAGGAGCTGAAACACCTCCTCGCACATTATAACCTCCTGATACTAAATTGGAAAAATATTATAACGACATTTGGCTTCGAAATATTTTTGTGGGTGATGGGAAAAGACCTCCTCGACTATTATGTTCTCCTGGTAGCCAGAAAAAATTTTACAATAATTTTCTGATTGGCCCTTCGTGTATTAGGAGCTGAAACACCTCCTCGCACAATATAACCTCCTGATACCAAATTGGAAAAGATTTAAAACGAAATTTGGCTTCGAAATGTTTTTGTGTGTGATGGGAAAATACCTCCTCGACTATTATGTTCTCCTGGTAGCCAGACAAAATTTTAAAAAAATTTTCTGATTGTCCCCTCGTGTATTAGGAGCTGAAACACCTCCTCGCACATTATAACCTCCTGATACCAAATTGGAAAATATTTAAAACGAAATTTGGCTTAGAAATATTTTTGTGGGTGATGGGAAAAGACCTCCTCGGCTATTATGTTCTCCTGGTAGCCAGACAGAATTTTAAAAGAATTTTCTGATTGTCCACTCGTGTATTAGGAGCTGAAACACCTCCTCGTACATTATAACCTCCTGATACCAAGTTGGAAAAGATTTAAAACGAAATTTGGCTTCGAAATAATTTTGTAGGTGATGGGAAAAGACCTCCTCGGCTATTATGTTCTCCTGGTAGCCAGACAAAATTTTACAATAATTTTCTGATTGTCCCCTCGTGTATTAGGAGCTGAAACATCTCCTCGCACATTATAACCTCCTAATACCAAATTGGAAAAGATTTAAAACGAAATTTGGCTTAGAAATATCTTTGTGGATGGTGGGAAAAGACCTCCTCGACTATTATGTTCTCCTGGTAGCCAGACAAAATTTTACAATAATTTTCTGATTGTCCCCCCGTGTATTAGGAGCTGAAACGTCTCCTCGCACATTATAACCTCCTGATACCAAATTGGAAAAGAATTAAAACGAAATTTGGCTTCGAAATATTTTTGTGGGTGATGGGAAAAGTGCTCCTCGACTATTATGTTCTCCTGGTAGCAAGACAAAATTTTAAAAGAATTTTCTGACTGCCCCCTCCTGTATTAGGAGCTGAAACACCTCCTCGCACATTATAACCTCCTGATACCAAATTGTAAAAGATTTAAAACGAAATTTGGCTTCGAAATATTTTTGTGGGTGATGGGAAAAGACCTCCTCGACTATTATGTTCTCCTGGTAGCCGGACAAAATTTTAAAAGAATTTTCTGATTGTCCCCTCGTGTATTAGGAGCTGAAACACCTCCTCGCACATTATAACCTCCTGATACCAAATTGGAAAGATTTAAAACGAAATTTGGCTTCGAAATATTTTTGTGGGTGATGGGAAAAGACCTCCTCGACTATTATGTTCTCCTGGTAGCCGACAAAATTTTAAAAGAATTTTCTGATTGTCCCCTCGTGTATTAGGAGCTGAAACACCTCCTCGTACATTATAACCTCCTGATACCAAATTGGAAAAGATTTAAAACGAAATTTGGCTTCGAAATATTTTTGTGGGTGATGGGAAAAGACCTCCTCGACTATTATGTTCTCCTGGTAGCCAGACAAAATTTTAAAAGAATTTTCTGATTGTCCCCTCGTGTATTAGGAGCTTAAACACCTCCTCGCACATTATAACCTCCTGATACCAAATTGGAAAAATTTAAAGCGAAATTTGGCTTCGAAATTTTTTTGTGGGTGATGGGAAAAGACCTCCTCGACTATTATGTTCTCCTGGTAGCCAGACAAAATTTTACAATAATTTTCTGATTGGCCCTTCGTGTATTAGGAGCTGAAACACCTCCTCGCACATTATATCCTCCTGATACCAAATTGGAAAGGATTTAAAACGAAATTTGACTTCGAAATATTTTTGTGGGTGATGGGAAAAGACCTCCTCGACTATTATGTTCTCCTGGTAGCCAGACAACATTTTAAAAGAATTTTCTGATTGTCCCCTCGTGTATTAGGAGCTGAAACAACCCCTTGCACATTATAACCTCCTGATACCAAATTAGAAAATATTTAAAACGAAATTTGGATTCGAAATATTTTTGTAGGTGATGGGAAATGACCTCCTCGACTATTATGTTCTCCTGGTAGCCAGACAAAATTTTAAAAGAGTTTTCTGATTGTCCCGTCGTGTATTAGGAGCTTAAACACCTCCTCGCACATTATAACCTCCTGATACCAAATTGGAAAAGATTTAAAACGAAATTTGGCTTTGAAATATTTTTTGAAAACTGTTTCGAAGAATAACTTTTTGACAGTTTTCGAAAGCATCGTAAAATTAAATTACGTGTTATAAGATTTAAAATTTAAACATCTGGAAATTGTTTGCGTAGTACTTGTAAAAGTTTATCTCATGTTTTTCTCCAGTTGTATATAAGAAGCTTTATTATCGCAGGAAAAGGGGTATTTTTCCCCATTTTAATATACGAGTGTAACAGGAGTAAAATTATAACCTACTTCACGACATATCGTTTGAGTGTATTTCAAGTTATCTTTTATGGAACGAAGATTTCACTGTTTATGATAAGCCACTGATTGCTTTGGTGGGGTGTAATCGCAATAATTGGGGCCGTCAGATATCGGCGTCCTTGCTTCCTCCTGCCGCCTTGAAACCTTTTGATATCCAAACGGATATATTATAGTCGTGAGCAACGAAATTTCGTCTACCCAATGGGAACGCGGAGATACGTACCTACTCATCCTGGTACGAAGCGACCTCTTCTGGAAAATCGCGCCCGCTTCTCGCCACAACATGTTTTTACTGGGTTGCTTGCGGGAAGTCGTTTGGCGGCCCCAAAAACTTCAGCAATCTACCCGCGTATCTAATTAGCAAAAAAACATGTTAATTAGGAAAAATCTGCGGTCGGCCGGGCAGGAAGCTTGATTGTCGGTGGGAATATTGATTTCTCCCGTTGCCAACAATCGTCCAGAACGGGGAAATTAGTGAAAATGTGGCAAAACTCCGCGCTGTTGTTGGGCGTAATTTTCGCCGCCGCTTGGGGTAAGTTCTTCGGATGAAGGTTCGGCCACCGGTTAAGACGATTTTAAGGTGCGGAGTCGGAACTGGACATTGTTTTACGTCAGGGATCCGAAACAAGAGACGCGCCTTCTCGGCTGGACGTAGACGAGGGGACTTACTTTACACTTAAGTGTATGTTAGCACCGCCCCTTTCGGATGGTGACCCCGTGTGGAAGGCCGTTGGAAACGTCGTCCGTACTGAGAGCGATGAGTTGGCATTTCACCCTGTTCGTCTGGAAGACAGGGGAGAGTACTTGTGCCTGGACCGAAAGGGCAATAGGTACAAAAGTGTCATGATTAACGTAGCCCCTAGGAATAGTGTAGAAGGTTAGTACCTGGCGGAGTGGATAGGTACTCAGGGTCGATTTGCAGATCTATCCCCTCCACTCAGAAAACTGTACGAAGAAGTGCGAAAAATTGCAAAAGAGGAAAAGCTAAGTAAGTTCATTTCGCTAAAAATGCATCCTTTTGCCATCTTCCCTTTGGGATCATCTTATCACTAATTTATAGATTACGAATCCCCTGATTTAGACAGCCCCCTCCCCCGCTAATCCTTCAGTTCTCAAGATCATCTCATTAATGTTCCATCCCAACTGCTTCTCTTTGACACTGTTTCCAGATTCTCGAAAAACCTTGAGAAAACTGGTTTATTTTTTTCCAGATTTGATTGGTGTAACCATTCCACGCGAAGAAGATTACCTCAATGACGAAGGTTATGCAGAAAAGCCGTACCGTGCACAAACACAAAAAATAGATACAGAGGTATTTTCAGGAGGCGAGGAAAAAACCACTAGCGTCAAAGGGACAACAACTCAAAGTGAAGTTGAAGTAGAAGGTAACGCACGTGTAAAAAACAGTTAGCTGCATTTTCACCTTCTTTCTTTTAGAAAAATTGACTGTGGCCCCTTTAGTTGAAGAAGGGGCAAATGAACGTGGTAAGTGCCATTTTAATTGCAATAACGCACCATCTTGTTTCCAGTCGCCACTTTAATTGCGATATTATTTAGAACTTAAGATGCTAAGCTTGGGTAAACTAACTCAAAAAACTACTGTGAATATGTTGCACTATTTTTTTGAATTTTTTGAGTAGCTTTTGTTTCTTTTTAAAAACTTCGGTACACCTGCCAGAATTTTTGAGGTTTTCTAATTCTCCTTTATAGTTCTTTCTGCCTCAGAAGTTTTGTTATGATCCCACGCAATTTAATAATTTTTTTGAATTTTTGATTTTCTAACAGTATCAAGTGCTTCTACATTCTCTCAGTTTCTGAATCTGCAGTTTTTTTGACTTTTCTTAAATTTTCGTTAATTTTTTCATTCTTTCCAATTTCATATTTTGTGTACACCTGCTGTGGCAGTTATGCTCCCCTCCAGGATGCTAACTAGATGTTAGAAACCATTTTTTTTCGAAAAAAAATTCAAAGAGCTGTAACTTTTGAACTAGTAGCCCAATCTTGGAACTGTTTGAAATTATGGACTCTGCAGGCCACATTCTATAAGAAAATTTTTTTTCCGGATCGATCTGAGACAATTTTTTCTTAGGGGCTCAAAAAAAGGCAGTGTATAACCTTGCTTTTTTACCAAAAATCGACTGCACCAAATTTTCTCGGGAAAACACTTTTTCTTATTAATTTTGGTGCGTAGAATCCAAAACAATTCGTACTTTTTCGATCAGACTTCTCAATCAAAAGTTATAGACTAGAAACCAATTTCGAAAAAAAATTCAAAGGGCTGTAACTTTTGAACTAGTACCCCAATCTTGGAACTGTTTGAAATTATGGATTCTACAGGCCACATTCTATAAGAAAATTTTTTTTCCGGGTCGATCTGAGACAATTTTTTCTTCGGGGCTCAAAAAAAGGCAGTGTATAACCTTCCTTTTTTACCAAAAATCGACTACACCAAAATTTCTCGGGAAAACACTTTTTCTTATTAATTTTGGTGCGTAGAATCCAAAACAATTCGTACTTTTTCGATCAGACTTCTCAATCAAAAGTTATAGACTAGAAACCAATTTCGAAAAAAATTCAAAGGGCTGTAACTTTTGAACTAGTAGCCCAATCTTGGAACTGTTTGAAATTATGGATTCTACAGGCCACATTCTATAAGAAAATTTTTTTTCCGGGTCGATCTGAGACAATTTTTTTTCGGGGCTCAAAAAAAGGCAGTGTATAACCTTCCATTTTTACCAAAAATCGACTGCACCAAAATTTCTCGGGAAAACACTTTTTGATATTAATTTTGGTGCGTAGAATCCAAATCAATTCGTACTTTTTCCAAATGTTATAGACTAGTGTTACATACAACTTTTTCGGTTTTTTTGACGGTCACTGAGTGACATGAATTCCAAATGAAAACACTGTGGTGCAAATAGCTGATGAAGATAAGGGCCATAAGGAAAATAAAAAAGAATTGAAGGTACTGGTGTAAATAACACTCCCTCCTCATTTCAGACTCAACCACTACCACCAAAACGGAAGAGTACGTTGAAGACTTGTATGAGGACTACGAGTTTGATGACAACCCAAACCAAGGGGAGGAGGTGACCGCTAAAGATAAATCATATGCAAATGGTGAGCATTTCTTTCTATTTCTTCCCATTACGCCCCTTTTCTTGCAGCCGCCAACTTCATGTACACCGTCGACAAAAATCCAAGTGACGAAAACGTCTTTTTTGATCACCACGAGCCGAACATGCTCTTCAATCGCTTTGGAGGTAATCATCTGACCTGTATCACCCCCCTCTTTCATTTGTAAGCCGCAGGGGAACCCATAGGACGCATTCCCATCGGTTTGAATGACATCTACGCCGACTATATGGATAATCGAGATTCCATCCCGAAGGAGCAAGGTAAGCCGTCATACTGGAAGATCTTAGACTAATCGAAACCTTTAGAAACAGTGATAGTGACCGAACCCCCCTTGGAGATAGGTAAGTTTATATAAAAAAACGGGGACGAGTGTAATTTCACATTGTCAGAATCTAAGACCTCGCGCAAGGACTGGGTCGCCATTAACCTGAATGATCTTAGGAGGCCCTCCCATGGTGAGTAACCCACTTTCCCACTAGTAACTAAATGTTGCTTTTAGAAAAAGACAAAGAGATTTCCACCAAACCACCTGAACATGCCACGAGTGAGTATCCAATTAACACCAATTTGTTTTGAATCGGCTTCGTTGCAGAATCCGCTACGCCTACCGAAGCTACCACTGTGCAATCTATGGGTAAGTGCCCCCTGTAGCGTTACCATTTTCTGTCAATTCGGTCATTTTTTTAGAGTCGACTGTCGATAAAATAAACCGGGAAGGTAAGTTTCCAAGAGTTTACGCCGCACTTGTTATTACCTCCTCTTTCAGTGCACGATATGATGCTATTTAAGTACATTGTGTATGGTAAGCGACGCATTTTCTTAAGCTTTGGAAGTCAAAGGTCTTTTAGCGCTGCTCCTAATCCTCGTGATACTCCTGCTCGCGTTCATTATCAGAATATGGCACTTGCTGGAGTACAAACCTTCGAATGATTTCCCACCGCCAGCGACACAGTATGTTAAGCTGCCCCAGCCTGTGACTCTTCCAACAGTAGAAGATGGTACAGAGTCGCTACTGCCCTAGTTGCCTTTTTTCGCTGAGTGCAGAGGAGCAGGTGAACCGGAGAGTGTCACTGTTGAATATGCAAAGCCGCGTTATAAATTATTTTAATAAATAAACTTCCATTTTTGATAGTCCTTGGTTTCCAGAGCCTGTCGAAACGAAAACGAAGCAAAAATCACCGTGTTTCACTCACAAGAAGCCATTTTGTGGGCGGTAGTCAATGAAGTAGGATGGTAGGGATCCTGACAGGGAGATTTTTAGGATGCATTCGGTCTTGGGCAACGATATAGTCAATGCGTTGTATCGGTTATTGGTTTTTTACTTCGAGCACTAATGCCAGATTAGTTCGGGTTTTGGATTACCAGAACAAACAGTGTGTAATAAAAAAAACTCGTAAAGTAATGAACGGTTAACGTCGAGTAAATCGTATTTCGTAGGGAGATTAAAACAGCCGTGCGCGGTCGAGGAGAAACTAATTAAGCGCGCCATTTTTCAGAGCTTTTCAGACACTCTGCTCTGCTCTGGAGATGGACTGAGAAGACTTCGAACGCTTTGGAAAGTATTTATTAGTAGAAATAGGCTTAACGTTTCTACCACTCTCTAGAAATTTTTGTTTCTTCATAGCCTTTGCAGAAGATTCCTTGGGCGTTTCTACTTTGCACAGTTTTCGGGAGTTACTTGAACCGAGCAAAGTGTAGATAGACCCGAAAGCACTGCGAAGACGCGCCTAGAACGATTGTGAAACTCTCAAGGGCGCTCTGTAAAGTTCCTGAAACTTAAAAAAAGATTTAGAACGCAATGAAAATTTAATATTACAATCGTTAGAAAGCTTCCCGTGTAAGAATAAGTCTTTTCCCGGTCGATTTAAGCAAATTCATTTTTTCGACCCAATTTGTAGGCAAGACTATAACCTTTGCTTTTCGCCAGAAATCGACTACTCCATTCAAACGTGACTTAGCCTTAGCCAGAAATATCCAGAAAGCTGTCTAGAGCTCTAAATTGTGCCTCAAGTCCATGCCTCCAAGTCTTGGCCCCACCGAAGGTTGCTAGTCTCCCGCAAGGTCCATCCTTTTCAAACGTTTATGGACCCTTTACAGGGGTCCGTTAACTTGGCCCCCCCACTGAGAGATTTCATAGTCGTATTATTTTGAAATGGATGCGCTCGTTATGCGCTCATATGCGCCACCGATAATAACTCTTGCGCCATTATCGTTTTTTAGAAATCCGAAAAAACATTTGGGGGGGGGCCAAGTGAACGTAGCCCCCCTCCAGTACGTATTTTGTCCCTTGTAACTAGGTCACCTGATACATTTGGGTATGCGCTCAATTGCGCCACTTGAATTAAAGCTAGCTCCATTACGGTTAAGCCATAAAACATTTTTAAAAAGTGGAGGGTCTAACTTAGCGTTTTCAAAAGTTATTTCCGGAGGTGTGTCCATTTTGAAAATATTTTACATCGATTCGGCCTTCGGAGTAACTCTTAAATACAAATTTTTAAAAACCTAACTATTTTACTTTCCCAAAATCGTTTAACTAAAGCTTCCAAAAAAACACCCTGTATAGTGTTTTTGAAACACTATAATGGCGCCAAGATTTTTGCTTACGGCGCATTTTAGCGCATGATGAAAGGTACGATGTAGTAGAAAAAACATGTTAAAAAACGTAACTTTTGAAAACGTTAAGTTAGCCCCCCCCCTTTTTAAAAATTTTTTATGGCTTAACCGTAATGGCGCTAGCTTTAATTCAAGTGGCGCAATTGAGCTCATAACCAGATGTATCAAGGGGCACAAATACCGGTAGCAAAATGCGTTATGGGGGATTCCGTTCACTTGGCACCCCCAAATATATTTAAGGATAACAAAAAAACAATAATGGCGCAAAGATATCTTTTTACGGCGCATTTCAGCGCATACCTGAGAGTACAATTTCGTATGAAAAGATGTTAAAAAAAAGTAACTTTTAAAAACGTTAAGTTGGCCCCCCCCCCCACTTTTTGAAAATTTGTCACGGCTTAACCGTAATGGCGCTAGCTTTAATTCAAGTGGCGCAATTGAGCGCATAACCAAATGTATCAGGTGACCTAGTTACAAGGGACAAAATACGTACTGGGGGGAGCTACGTTCACTTGCCCCCCTCCCAAATGTTTTTTCGGATTTCTAAAAAACGATAATGGCGCAAGAGTTATTATCGGTGGCGCATATGAGCGCATAACGAGCGCATTCATTTCAAAATAATACGACTATGAAATCTCTCAGTGGGGGGGGAGCCAAGTTAACAGCTCCAGAGGTTCGCTAGCTTTAAGAAAGGCTCACAATTCTTTGGAAAAGTTCCTAAAGTCTACCCAACGGACTTAGCCTTAGACACTTTAAACTCTGCTCAAGCTTTAGAAGTGCTTCCTGGAGCATGGAGTAATTTATAACAGTTTTAAGCTGTTCCAGAGCTTCGTAGGTTCTTCTCTTCTTTGTGGTGGTAGAGCGTTGGGTTATAAATCCGGAGGTCGGGAGTTCGAATCTGGTTTGAGGTGAATTTTTCATCTGTGACAGAGATGGGAATTACCCAAGGAATTACCTCACACTACAGCTGTGACTGTATTAGGCGTCAGGCGAAAACTTATAATCCGCCATATTGGAGCTAAAAAATTGTTTGATTGTATGATCAATATACATTGTCATGTCAAATTATGATAAATGTCAGTTTTATTTAAAGATTCTCGTTCAAAACTAACGGCGCAGAGATGATAGTTTAAAACTTTGACATTTCAGTGTGTTCTGTCACTTCTTCTACCTCGTCGCGTGTTTCGAGGGAGCCTGTCTTGGGGTACAGAACAAAATCACACCTATAATATACTTTTACATGAATGCAAAAATAAATACTTAATAAAATAATATACAGGCATACCCACAAACATGATTCAATAACGGTACTCAAACAGAAACTTGGAGCACGCCAAAACGTAAATAATAAGAAATTGTGCATGAAATTCAAACATTAACGGTTAGTACGAGACGGAATAAAATGACCACCTTTTCAAACAGAGCAAATAAAATAAACATTGAGAAAAATCCGCCATTACTCGAGACCTCGGATCGGGATCCAGTTACCAGTTGCTTTCTGGCGAGATTCGTCGTGAAAAATCCCCATGTTCGGCAGCTGCGCAGAACGATTGTTGTATATACAGAGTGTTTCGCATCTTTCCCATCGTACCAATTGTTTCTGATGTAGTATATCTCAGGTGAAGTCAGTCAGTTTGTAAAATTCCTATTAGGGTGCACTGTTGCAAACAGGGCCATAAAGCCACTAGATATAGAAAGTACCGCAATCATCCGCCATTTTTGGGCAAATTTGCTGCCAACTTAAAAAAATTGACAAATAAATTCTGAATAGCTGTAATTTTTTATAACCTAACTTCATAGTACTGTCATGTTGTATACAGATATCTCCAAACAGGTGGCACAATCCTTAACATTAAAGTTACTAGAATCTGGTAACTTCCGCCATTTTTGGGAAAAATCATGCGTTCTCTCTCTAACACACGAGCCGAATGTGACTTTACACGGCCACTGTTTTTCCAAAGTTCGTTTCGTACGTACTGCTACAGTAGGGAAATTTTTTTATTTAACGGCATCGAAAGGGCAATCCTATTCCAATATTTCCAAAAATTACGTTCTTTCTGCATTCTGCCACACGAGACTACAGAAATTTGTCGAATCTATTCGTCGTAACCACCTGGGTTTATCAAACCATGTTATTGATAGTAACTTCGATACGGAAACTAATTTCCTCCATGACTCAGAAATGACTTTTCTTGACAATGAGCTTTGGTCGCATTGTGATAAAGATCTCCTAGTAACAATTTTAATTAAAAAATAAGCAGTACCATACAAAAACCATTTTGATTAATCATTTTTTGGATATGGATTTCTCATTCTTAATCCTACTTCTGATGATTAAACTTTTAAATTGAGTACACCAAAAACCTTCCCTTGAAAAATACGACCACACCCTTTATACATTTTTATTGATAGGAATCGAGATAAAGCCTTTTGATACAGTTGTGAACCAAAATGAAAAGCAGAAAACCACGAATACGGAAATAGCGAAAACCGCAATCTATTCCCACGTGGTACATTACTATTATTATTATCACTAAACCGCACTATTGGCGTTCCCCTGGAATTACAAAACCTTTTGTGCAATACAAATACCAAACCTTTTAAGAATCTAGTTTCTTTAACATTACCATGGATATATTGAAAAACATTAGAACAGAATCATATATTAATTATTAAAGAATTCCGCTACACTAACTTCTACAGTCGATAACGCACTCAAGCAAAATGTTTCACCAAGAAGGTGACGAGCAAGTTACAGGTGACCAAGATGAAAAAGTTGCCTGAAAGAGAAATATGAGTCTGGGTCTCACAGGGCACCGAAAGACTCACTTAGGCTTGAGGATGACGCGCCGCCTTCTGTCACTGGATCATGGGGTATCGGCTCACCCCCAGATGGCTCACCTATAGAACACGACTTGGATTTCTGTTTAGCTTAAGAACGTTGAAGCTTACCTGAGTCGGCACCAGCGCCATTGTATCTAGGAGCTAAAGGTGGGGGCGAAGTCTCCGCTTTTTGGCCTTAAAATGAAATCCGTCTGTGATCAATTGGCGAAAGTACGGACTTACCGGCTTCCGCTGGAGCATGTTCCTCGACATGTGTAGCATTGGGATGTTCGGTTGGCTCATCTGCTGCAAATTAGATCTAATTATTCACTTATACAATCATAATACGCATACCGAATGCCAGGACAAACGCAAAAATGCTCAAAAGTATGAAGGATCGTAGGGACATTTTCGCTTGTACGCGCCGTGCAGCCTATGGTACAATTAACTTGCTTCTGCGATTAATAGAACTAATTAAGTTGCACAAATAAAGTCGTTATCGAACGACTTCCGTTACAGATTTTGAGATACTATACATTAAATGGAGATTGTGGTTTTTTAACACATTGCCCGATTAATGGGTTTTAAGGTCAAAATTTTTCTGTATCCCAATGGATTTTTTTATACAAATTAAGTCCAAGTAACACTCAAAAAATGAAATACTTTCCAAGCAAATTGGAAGAAAGTTTGGACAAACTCTGGCAAGCTATCGAGCACCATCCCAGGTCACTAAGATCTTTGCAAATATGTTTCCAGCATTGAAGCTACCCTTCAGAGATATTTCGGTGTCTTCAAACCCTTTTGGTAACGTTCCATGTCCGTTCTAGATCTATCAAAGTCCTCTCCAGGGAGATTTACCTCTCATAAAACCCTGAGATCTTTCGCATGTCCGGAACGATCTACAATACTCCCAAAAGCTCTGCACGGGGCTTATAGGGAATCGGATTTATGGCTAAAAGCATTGGGTTATAAATCCGAAGGTCGGTGTTCGAATGGGTTGAGGTGAATTTTTCATCTGTGGCGGAGATGGAAATTACCTTAGGCCAAGCACCCTGACACCGAATTAGCCTGCAGTTTTCCCTAATTCGTAAGCCGGACCATCACACCTCTAGTCACTTGTAATTGATCCTTTGAAAAAGATGTCAATGGAAGACGCTAGGAAACCCTGAAAAGCTGTCGAGCACCATCTCAAGTCACTTGAGATCTTTGAAAGATGTCTCTAGCATTGAAGCTACCTTTCAGAGATATTTTGGTCCCTCCAAACCCTTGTGGGAGTGTTCCATGTCCGTTCCAGATCTATCAAAGTCCTTTCCAGGAAGTTTTACCTCTCATAAAACCCTGAGAACTTTCGCATGTCCGGAACGATCTACAATACTCCCAAAAGCTCTGAACGGGGCTTATAGGGAATACTAAAAACTCAATGGAAAACGCTAGGAAACCCTGAAAAGCTGTCGAGCACCATCACAAGTCACTTGAGATCTTTGAAAAGATGTCTCTAGCATTGAAGCTACCTTTCAGAGATATTTTGGTCCCTCCAAACCCTTATGGGAGTGTTCCATGTCCGTTCTAGTTCTATCAAAGTCCTCTCCAGGATGTTTTACGTCTCATAAAACCCTGAGAACTTTCGCATGTCTGGAACGATCTACAATACTCCCAAAAGCTCTGAACGGGGCTTATAGGGAATACTAAAAACTCAATGGAAAACGCTAGGAAACCCTGAAAAGCTGTCGAGCACCACCTCAAGTCACTTGAGATCTTTGAAAGATGTCTCTAGCATTGAAGCTACCTTTCAGAGATATTTTGGTCCCTCCAAACCCTTGTGGGAGTGTTCCATGTCCGTTCTAGATCTATCAAAGTCTTCTCCAGGAAGTTTTACCTCTCATAAAACCCTGAGAACTTTCGCATGTCTGGAACGATCTACAATACTCCCAAAAGCTCTGAACGGGGCTTATAGGGAATACTAAAAAGTCAATGGAAGACGCTAGGAAACCCAGAAAAGCTGTCGAGCACCATCCCAAGCCACTTGAGATCTTTGAAAAGATGTCTCTAGCATTGAAGCTACTTTCAGAGATATTTTGGTCCCTCCAAACCCTTGTGGGAGTGTTCCATGTCCGTTCTAGATCTATCAAAGTCTTCTCCAGGAAGTTTTACCTCTCATAAAACCCTGAGAACTTTCGCATGTCTGGAACGATCTACAGTACTCCCAAAAGCTCTGAACGGGGCCTATAGGGAATACTAAAAAGTCAATGGAAGACGCTAGGAAACTCTGAAAAGCTGTCGAGCACCATCCCAAGTCACTTGAAATCTTTGAAAAGATGTCTCTAGCATTGAAGCTACCTTTCAGAGATATTTTGGTCCCTCCAAACCCTTGTGGGAGTGTTCCATGTCCGTTCTAGATCTATCAAAGTCTTCTCCAGGAAGTTTTACCTCTCATAAAACCCTGAGAACTTTCGCATGTCTGGAACGATCTACAATACTCCCAAAAGCTCTGAACGGGGCTTATAGGGAATACTAAAAACTCAATGGAAAACGCTAGGAAACCCTGAAAAGCTGTCGAGCACCATCCCAAGTCACTTGAGATTTTTGTCTCCAGCATCGAAGCTACCTATGAACCTGGCACAACATGTAATATTTAAAAAAATGGAGCATTTAATTCGGGGATAGGGCACTTAATTAGCACCTAATTAGCACCTAATTATGCAATATGTTTGATTGTGTGAGAATCGAATCCGGGCCGCCCGCCTGGCAGGCGAGCATTTACCACTGAACCACCGATGCTTATTTAACGTTTACAATGCACTCGATAAAATGGAAAAATGGCGATATCAAACTCAATTAACCGGTTTAATTAATTAATATGTAATAAGCGTTCTCAATTAACTATTTGATTGCAAATTAGGCCATGGTAAAAAGACGATTTTAACCTCGCGAGGCAAAAGGACAGTTAAATTAAAAGGACCTTTGCCACGCCGATCCTTGAAAGCGCTTGTGCAATCAGTTTGGTATGGGTAACAGCTATCATGAAAAAAGAAAAACCCCCACCCAGTACAAAATAGGGACTGTTTTTCGGGATCACGCCGATGGGATTCCGTATCACCTCCAAAGTTTGGCGTGATCCAGATAACAAATTTCTCGGATTCTTTGCAAAATAAGTGGAACGTGATAAGATACATAATTACGTAGTTTTTATATGAAAACATGTGACGTGGGTGCTGTTTTTATCGGTTTTATAAACAAATTTACGCTTAGAGATAAATGGGCCCAGCTTGTATTTAGGATTTTTGGATA